CCCCCCCCCTCGCTCTTTTCACCACGAGAGGTGGTCCCATGGCCCCCCCTAGAAAAATTTCCTAGCTACGCCCCTGCTCCGGATAGAGATACTGGACGGGTGGTCTGGAACTCCGGTAAGTGATAAAAAGACCGGGTTTGTCATGGACTGTGACGTAGCGAGCGTGCCGGATCCGTTCCCACGTCATGTGACAATTTTGAATGGGCCGGTTCCAAAAACAGCTTTTTTTTGAGTTTGTGAGGTCTTTTCAAGCTGTTTTGGTAACACCATCGATATTCTTGTGAAAGATGCCGGTAGAATCAGTTCTCAATTCACTAATTCCCGCACCTCGCAACAGGCCCATTACGGCTTAGTATGTGGGTGGATTTCAGCTACCTAATGGGATAAAATATGGGAAAGACGTGTACCTAACTGGTTGCTCAAAACTTTCAATTGTAATATTTTCTCTTGATGTTTGGTTTTTGGCGTAGAAGCAGGTCACACCAACCACGAAAAAATTCCTCAGGAGATTTGAATAACTCTAAACCTTTTTTTCAACGTGCTAAACAGAGAAAATGTCAGTTTGGTGACGTGTAACTCGGAGGTAGGTAGTCAGTGTATCAAATTGTTATATAAATAAACCAGGACCTTTTGCGAGCTTTGCCTAATTTTTTTAAGTCTTGAATGAATATTGTTAGTTATAATATGCATTGAAACACCAGACAACTATCTGATTTAATTTAATTTGAGACTTGAAGCAAGTAACTCAATATTACCTATGTCAGTTTGGTGACGCTATGTGTTTTAGTTTGTGGCCACTCAAGAGATAGTGCTTGTGTGCGGATTAAGGCATGACTGAGTGGGGAAGAGGAGAACAAACAGACGTGTACTTGATAAATCCACATATTTCTTCCAATTTCAGCATGATCTCAGTTTTTTCCATGGTTTTTGGAGTGTCTCACTTACCTACTCAATGTCAGTTTGGTGATGCTGTTTTCCATCAAAACTTTTGGTGAAATTTGCAAGGAATATGTGAGCAAATATTTTTTTCTCACATTTACAGGTGGCCTCTTGACCTAACCTCAATAATTCGTTTGATTTTGTTATTGTAAATTGGCAGGAAAAATTAATAACAGCAAAATAGCAGGTTTGGTGACGTCACCAAACCTGACACGTCCAAAGCAAACTGACATGTCAGGCTTGGTAAAGAAAAATAATCGTAGAAATATTGCGGTGCACGTGATTAAATCCTATAGTATGGAGCTCTAAGATAACAGAAAAGTAGTTCTCAGCTTGATATGGCCAAATCACTTTTCAACTTTTTTCAGGACCATTTTCTCCCTTTAGCTGTAATCCACCCATATCTAAGCGTCTNGGGGGGGGGGGGGGGGGGGGGGGGGGGGGGGGGGCTTGCAAATGTTTTGATCCAAAAATAATTGAACAACTACCTTGAAGAATTATTCACTAAGTGTGAATTTGGACGCACAAAATTAGGGCTCTGGCCGATTTTCGTCAAACCTAAAAAGTACGGTAGAATCGGTTGAAAACGCATGAATTGAATACCTACGCTATCTTTTACAAAACCACAAGGTGCAACCTCAAAAAATTTGTTTCAGAGAAAACCCTAAGGAAGGCAACAAAGTTGTGCTAATACGCAACTTTCCGCGCTAGTGCGTTTTGCTTCTAGACGAAAGTTTCCCTTGGCCCCTTCTCCCCCTCTTTGTCTCAAAAATAGGAGCAAAACAATATAGGAGGAAAATTATCAGCTTCCAAAGTCTTTAGAAAAGATCTTCTCCCACGGTGCGCTTGAACTCACTTTAAATGCGACTTGAATGTACATCAAAAATTCAAGTTGGAGGTTGTAGTGGGGTACTCCCTGATGGGTTTTTGGGCAATTTCGAAAAAGGTTGTCGGAGCTCCTCGAAAAATAATCGCATTTTTGTGGTTCTTTTGGGGTAAAATAGCAAAATTGACCTTGGGGCGACAAATTAAACCCCCTCTCCCTCATCCTTGCCCTGACCGATCTGAATTTTTAGTATTTTTTCACCTGGTATAAGATGTGACTTTTCTGAAATTTTCATGCCCATACACAATTTTTTGCCCCCGCGGCAGCGTTGCCAAGTTGCGAACTCCAAAATGTCGAACTTGATGATAGAATGAAGGTTTCGAAGTGAGATTTCCATTCAATTTCAAAAATTCAAATCGCAGGTTGTAGTAGGGTACTGCCTGATGGGTTTTTGGCCAATTTCGAAATAGAGTGTTTGAGATTTTTGAAAAATAATCGCATTTTTGTGGTTTTTAAGGGTAAAATAGCACACTGGGCACGGGGCGGCAAATTAAACCTCTTCTCTCTCATCCTTGCCGTGACCGATCTGAACTTTTAGTATGTATTAACCTCGTATAAGATGTGACTTTTCTGAAATTTTCATGCCCGTACAAAATTTTTTGCCCCCGCGGCAGCGTTGCCAAGTTGTGGACTCAAAAAGATCGAATTTGATGATAAAATGAAGGTTTCGAGGTGTGATTTCCTCCAAAATTTCACGAAAAATGTGCAATCTGAGAGTTTTTGACAAGGAAAAGCACATTTGAACAATATAGAGTTGCAGCGTTGCCAGCTTCACGATTTAAAATTCGTCAAAATGATCCGAATCGCGTTGCAACCTCAAGGTCTGGATTTTCATTTCGTTCAGAATTGGTCATTACGGCTCTTCTGTACTCTATGCATTTAGGTACCATGAAAATGATGCCATTACTCACTTGATGGGTGCAGCTAACTCAACAAGAGAGGCCGGATAAAGCGAAGATTCGGGGAAAAGCGAGTGGTTCGGGTTTACAGATAGTTCTCTTTACATGACACAAAATTTACAAAACATCTTTCATTTCGTTGTCTAGTCTACTTTTGTTGTGAAGGAATTTATTTCAATAGAACTCAAAATAATTGTGATGTTTTGCAAATTTTTGATTCTTTAAGTTGTTGGAGGTAATTTTCTGGATTCGATAAAGCGAAGATTCGGGGAAAAGCGAGCGGTTTGGGTTGACAGAAAGTTCTTAAATCTATTCCATCAACAGAAAGTAGAATTTGAGATTATTCTCCATCCCTCAAACCTTAGCCCTGCTGCTGTCATACTTTGAACATTCTATCTAAAATCTTGCCCTCCCCCAATTTTTTACCAAAAACATGAAAAATTAAAACATAAATAAAATGAGTGGAAAACGACGATTCAAAAAAGTTTGAAAATCCCCGAATTCAACCTCCTCTTACAGCGTATTAGATAGTTCGAATCCAGAAAATTACCTCCAACAACTTAAAGAATCAAAAATTTGCAAAACATCACAATTATTTTGAGTTCTATTGAAATAAATTCCTTCACAACAAAAGTAGACTAGACAACGAAATGAAAGATGTTTTGTAAATTTTGTGTCATGTAAAGAGAACTATCTGTAAACCCGAACCACTCGCTTTTCCCCGAATCTTCGCTTTATCCGGCCTCTCTTGTTGAGTTAGCTGCACCCATCAAGTGAGTAATGGCATCATTTTCATGGTACCTAAATGCATGGAGTACAGAAGAGCCGTAATGACCAATTCTGAACGAAATGAAAATCCAGACCTTGAGGTTGCAACGCGATTCGGATCATTTTGACGAATTTTAAATCGTGAAGCTGGCAACGCTGCAACTCTATATTGTTCAAATGTGCTTTTCCTTGTCAAAAACTCTCAGATTGCACATTTTTCGTGAAATTTTGGAGGAAATCACACCTCGAAACCTTCATTTTATCATCAAATTCGATCTTTTTGAGTCCACAACTTGGCAACGCTGCCGCGGGGGCAAAAAATTTTGTACGGGCATGAAAATTTCAGAAAAGTCACATCTTATACGAGGTTAATACATACTAAAAGTTCAGATCGGTCACGGCAAGGATGAGAGAGAAGAGGTTTAATTTGCCGCCCCGTGCCCAGTGTGCTATTTTACCCTTAAAAACCACAAAAATGCGATTATTTTTCAAAAATCTCAAACACTCTATTTCGAAATTGGCCAAAAACCCATCAGGCAGTACCCTACTACAACCTGCGATTTGAATTTTTGAAATTGAATGGAAATCTCACTTCGAAACCTTCATTCTATCATCAAGTTCGACATTTTGGAGTTCGCAACTTGGCAACGCTGCCGCGGGGGCAAAAAATTGTGTATGGGCATGAAAATTTCAGAAAAGTCACATCTTATACCAGGTGAAAAAATACTAAAAATTCAGATCGGTCAGGGCAAGGATGAGGGAGAGGGGGTTTAATTTGTCGCCCCAAGGTCAATTTTGCTATTTTACCCCAAAAGAACCACAAAAATGCGATTATTTTTCGAGGAGCTCCGACAACCTTTTTCGAAATTGCCCAAAAACCCATCAGGGAGTACCCCACTACAACCTCCAACTTGAATTTTTGATGTACATTCAAGTCGCATTTAAAGTGAGTTTAAGCGCACCGTGCTCCAATCCAAATACCTTACATTCTTTTGTGGTCACGAAAGCCGCAATAAAAAATGAAGGTGACAAAATTTTAGGAGTTTCAACTTTTCTTCCGTAAGAATCATAAAAGCAGTTAATTTCTTTAACTGCAGCAGATTTGAAAGATCCTCAGTCGTACGACTTTAATAACAAGTGTTGAAGAGCAAACGCTTCCCAACAGTTTCTAACCGAGCTGCACACAAAGATATTTACAAACTCACAAAATAATGAGCGTTTAGGTTCATTTATTGGCTGCTTTGAAAACGCCTAAAAAGCAAGTTATCGGGATTGTTCAGTAGGGCTTTAGGGAAGAGTTTATGAGTATTGAATACTTTTTATTTCTTAGAATTCGTTTTAATAATATTTTGCCTAAAACCGATTACATAATACCATATTCAAAATTCCCTGCCCCAGGTATTCTGAATTATTTTAAAAAATTTTAACAGGAGAAATAGGTGGACAAGAAGCAAAAATCTTAGAAATAATAAATAAAAATTGTTTACTCTTACATCAACATGATTTCTAAAGAAAGGAAGTGCTGACATCATTAAAAAAGATGATGATTTAAATTGTAAAATTAGAATAATGAGATCTCTGACAGGGAGTGATTACAACATTCAATTCATCTTGAATCTGCAAAATGAATGTTTTTCGGGCTGACGAGAACCTGTGCAGAGCTGACTGAGAGAGTAAGAGTGTAAATACCAAAGATTATGATGGTAAAGGAGGTACCCTTCCTAAGGAGTCATCAGTCATCATCAAATGAAACTTTAGTGAGAGATATGCCAGGCCTTTTTGCCCACAATCTCAAGCGAAACATTAGTTTTAATGCTTAAAAAGTAAAACACACGTAGATGTGAGGACCAAAACATGCTAGTGTAATAGCAGTTGTGGATAAAGCGGCGCCTTTCATCCGATTGATTGTATTCACCATGTTTATTTATTATGACATACGCTCCTGACCTTATAGACCAAAATATAATAGAGTTCAAATGTCACACTGATCATGATGATCTGGTAAGTCAATGGTCATCAGGGAACTGATACTAGGTTCTCATTTGGTATCATTTAGTTACAAAGATATTTATTGATCCTTGGCCTCATAACAGATTAGTTTCGGAAATCCTAGACACGCAGGGAGTGGTTTGTTGTGCTTACTATGATACTCCCTACTTGTGAGGAATGAGCTTGTTTAATAATGTTTAATCATTGCGTTTTTTGAAAAGCAGGGAGTGAACTTAATTCAAAGGAATTTTCCTCGATATTTTGGAAAGGTATTAAGCGACGATGAACGAGTTCAAAGTTGTGTGATATAAGTTTTCATTTAAACGCGCATCGGCGAGAGAGGCTAGATGGTGCACGTAGGGATCCGTCCAGCCGCGGTTGCGTCACGCCTGTATGATCCTTCATGCACGACCCGTGCTTCGTATAGCCCTATCAACGCACGCACGCCCACACGGCGTATGGATCGTACGAGAGGGATGACACGGGCGAGACGCAACCGCGACCGGACCAATCTCTGTGCACGCCATCTTACCTTTCTCGCCGATACTCATTTAAATGAAAACTAAAATCTAGAAACTTTGAACTCGTATTTTCGTGACTTGATGTTGTTAAAAAAAACCTAGGGAAACTCCTGTGAACTACGTTCATTCTTTACTTTTCAAAAATGCAAGAATTAAAATAACTGGACAAGCTCATTCGACTTAATAACTGATTCTTACATAAGAATTACTCAATTCAAGGCGCAGCGAGAGGTGAAAACGATCTGCAAAAAAAATCTAATTTTCTCACTAACCGGTTGATCAAGAATGTTAACAAACTCAACATTTGAAACTGAGAATAAGAAGATGAAAAACTAATTCTACATTTTCTGATCTTCCAGCACTCTCCGAGAAAAAGTTGGGAAACTGCTGTGCCATTCACTGGAGCACCACTAGGTAGGCGTACTGCAATAGAGGGCTATTGCAGTAAAGTTGAGTTTTCAAGCAATCTTTGGGCCGATTTCACAGGCTTCAGCTTCTTTTGAAGCTGAAAGTATGCCTGACAAGTCTCTTTCCTCAGAATTAGTTCATCACTCTTTCTCCAGAAGATACCAAAGAGGGCGCTTCTCTACACAGATGTACCTTGCTTGAATGCAATTTTAATTTAATCACTCACTCCTAACTTTTGTCACCAAGAAACTTTATGTATAGCTGATTTCATAATAAAAATGGCTCTTAAGATTACAATTCAACACTTCTCTATCCTCCTGGCAAAGAGATCATTTTGAAATTTTAAAACATGTTTACAAAAATTCTGCGAACTAAAATCCTGTCCAGTACATCAAATCACTAATACACAAAATTTGATTAATAAATAGCTTGCATCTCGGAATTTTCACTAATGACACACAAGAGACATTCAAACCATTTGAAGATCGAATTTCTTTTATGATACCTGACATTGCAGAATTTTCTGTAAGCAATAATTGTTTTCAAAAAAAAAAAAAATATAAGATTTTATAAAAAATGAGCCACTGATCAAAATTCTTGACACTCTCAATGGAATTTTACTATTTCTAAAAACCAATATTTCATGCAGAAAGGATGGAGAACGCTTCACTGAGTAGTTTAACCAAGATCATACTGTTATGGTATCATTCGAAATGAAACAGATTTTGTTTTTGTAGTTCAAAACATACTTTGAAGCAATACCACTAGAATAAAAAAAATTGTTCAGGGAAAACAAGAGTGCAACCTTTAATTGACAAGGAAATTTTATTCACCTTCGACGATGCTTTTTTTTACCACAGTAATACTCAGGGGAGCTGTCGGAGTAACGCCTTCGCCATTTTTCATGCCTTGTCTTACCCTCATTCAACTGGGAGTACTTGCTAGATGGAGATCTACTAGACTTAGAGTGAGTAGATCTGTGACTGTGACTCCTATAGCTACTTCTATGTGCGCGTGGAGACCTAGACTTCCCACATCTATTACGACTGTGAGACCTGCTTTTATGCCTTTCTCTCTCCCATGAGCCAGAGCGAGAGCAACGATCCAAGTTACGCTTCTTACTTCTCTCCGATGAATGTGTGCTCCTTTTAGAGCTAGCTCGGATTCTTGACTCTCTACTGGAGGAACGTTTATGTTTGCTCTGTGAGGATGAGTGCGACTCGGAACTCAGCCTTTTTGCATGACGCGAGTAAGAGCTACCTTCATCTCGACTACCCTTACTGCGAGAGCGATCTTTGCTCTCTTTTTTTGCCTTTAGCTTTAGCTTTGCTTTGGATCGTTTGTTACGGGAGCTACAAGAAGAGGAAGAGGTTGAGGTTGAGTAACTTGAGTCACTGGAAGTACTAGAGCTATCAGCATCTTGTGATATGCTTCTGTCTTTAGTTGCTCCTCTGACTGTTTCTTCAGTTTTTTCCCTGCTTCTTTCCAGGGATGAACTTTTAGATTCAAAAACTCGATTTTCAGAAGTTTCATCTGTAAGATTTTCTGTCAGCGTTTTCGATCTTTCTCCCGGTGGTTCAGCTGTTAACAAAAAGAATAAAAAAGAGGCATTTATCCAGCATTCTTTGTAAATTGCAGATACTTTACCATTTATGGAAAAAAAACCAAACTTAATCCCAATAGTGGTCGTCCTCTCAACTACATGAGCTTCAACCATCACCATCACTGGCATCTTAATTTTCACCTAGAATTTAATAATTTTAGACTTTGAGTCATTCAACTTCATCGGTGTTCATTGTTAGAATGGAATTATAACTACATACCGGGTGTCCGTAAAGTAACTGAAAAGTGTGTATAATTTTTGAACAAAAAAAGATAGAAGGTTGCGGTTTGTGGCATTCTTCATCATTGAAAGGGGGAAATTTTTCGATGGGGGGATTTTTCTTGGTGGACCCCCTGGGGGGCCCCAGGGGGGGGCAACTTTTAAAAGTCAAATAGCAACCCCCGTTTTTTTAGACATGGTTAGAAAGAACTTGAAAAGACAAGGGGAATGGCGAAAACAAAATTAAAATCGGTTCACTCGCTCCAAAGTTATAGCCGGTCAAAATTTTAAATTGACCACTTTTCAAAAAATCGCCGTTGAGCTCCAAATTATCGAAAAAACAAAAACAAACCAGGAATGAAAAGTTTGAAAAGTGCCTTTTAGGAAAAAGCAAAACAACTGACGTTGTCACAAGTTCGGATGGCATTGTTTCAAAATAAAATTTTAGAAAATTCAACGTGGCGGCAAATTTGAGGAAACGCGAAAAATGAAAATTCCAGAAACTGTTATCTTTCAAATACCCTCTAGTTTAGGGAAATCAAATGTTTTTAGCTGACTTTAAAATTGTCAAGCGGGGCGCCTTCAATCGTTGGAGCATGCAACATCACAGGATTAAGTGTGCTGTCAAAAAATGAAGCCGATTTGAAAAAGCGCTCCTCCTTTGGGATGCGTCAGAAATTTTCAAGGTCCTCTTCCAAAGCAGTAAAAGTAAGCACTATTAAATAAAACCAATTAATAATTTACAACTTCATTCGTCAAATGACTAGATACCAAGTTTAAAACAAATAAAAGTCCGGTGGAAAGTGGAAACAGTAGTTTTACTGTAAATCGAGAATAATCTGATAATTGCAAACTAAATCAGAATTCGGTATGATCAAGGGAACTTAGCATACTGAGTTCAGCTTCGTAAACAGTGTCACCGATCAGGTAGGGCATCAGATGTTACCTAAAAGATCGGTGCCTCAAATCGTGATTTTGAGACTGTCAATAATATAATCTCAACTCAGATAATAATCAAGAGTAGAACGGCGTTTTCGGAATTAAAAGCGAAGCAGGTATCCTCCTTGCCAATTAGGAGTGCCAGAAGTTAGAGAATTAAAATTATTCTTGGATTTTTAATTTTCAGAGAGAGAAATGTCAGAAACGTCAGCCGCCCCTACCCCATCAGGATAAACCATGTTTTTTTGGCTCGCCAAGTTTATGGGTAGAAATTGCTCAATTTTTCTTTTCTTTATTTTATCGTTAAATTTGAAGAGGGGGACCTTGAAAATTTCTGACGCATCCCAAAGGAGGAGCGCTTTTTCACATCGGCTTCATTTTTTGACAGCACACTTAATCCTGTGATGTTGCATGCTCCAACGATTGAAAGTGCCCCGCTTGACAATTTTAAAGTCAGCAAATTATTGCTCTTACTTGGCCAAATAAAGGAATTAAAGGTGATACCTTTGATTTCCTTATACTAGAGGGTATTTGAAAGATAACAGTTTCTGGAATTTTCATTTTTCGCGTTTCCTCAAATTTGCCGCCATGTTGAATTTTCCAAAATTTTATTTTGAAACAATGCCATCCGAACTTGTGACAACGTCAGTTGTTTTGCCTTTTCCTAAAAGGCACTTTTCAAACTTTTCATTCCTGGTTTGTTTTTGTTTTTTCGATAATTTGGAGCTCAACGGCGATTTTTTGAAAAGTGGTCAATTTAAAATTTTGACCGGCTATAATTTTGGAGCGAGTGAACCGATTTTAATTTTGTTTTCGCCATTCTCCTTGTCTTTTCAAGTTCTTTCTAACCATGTCTAAAAAACGGGGGTTGCTATTTGACTTTTAAAAGTTGCCCCCCCTGGGGCCCCCCAGGGGGGTCCACCAAGAAAAATCCCCCCATCGAAAAATTTCCCCCTTTCAATGATGAAGAATGCCACAAACCGCAACCTTCTATCTTTTTTTGTTCAAAAATTATACACACTTTTCAGTTACTTTACAGACACCCGGTATGAGGACTTATACAGGATGTCTCCAAAGTCCGTACCACCCCTGGTAACACTTGAACGGTTAGAGATAAAAATACGAAACTTTGGGAATGTTTCGATCTCAAAGGAGACCATCTTCTGAGGGGGTCAACATTTTGTTGGGGGGGGGGGAGCCCCGACTTTTTTCTTTTAAAAATTAACCCCTATCTCGTGATACATCATTGGAAAGAACATTAAAAAATAAGAATTTTGGCGCAAACCGCAGATCAAAATCTTAATTTTTGACCGAGTTATGATAGGCTAAAGGTCAAATTTGACCTATTTTCTAAAATCATAACTCCGGTTTAAACTGAATCGGTGAGAACTAAAACACACCAACTCAGTAACTCAAAAATGCTCAATTTTCATTAAAGACAGTTAATTTACCTAAAGGTCATTGAAGGTAGCGCATCTGTTCCAACTTGGATCTTTAAAGTGTCCATAAATACTTGTCTTTCGGCAGCAAAAATCTTTTTTTTTTAATCAACTTCTTTACCTACTGTGCAGTTTAGTGAGTGTCTTGATTCTACTTCGTATTTCGAGTTTAGGTGTTTTTGTACTCACTGATTCAACTATCGTAGAGAAAAAAATAAAATGGGAAAATTCAGAAAATTGTAAGGACTATTACGTAAAAATCACAGAAAGTACTTCAAACTAATATTAAGGGGGGGAGGGTTCAAACCCCCAAATACGTCAGTTCAAAGGTCATCCGACTTTCCCGCGAAATGAGCCAATTTCCCCTAACTTTGCCTCAACATTATCTCGGTAAGTTGAATATGAGTTCAACAATATACTTTCAAGTCCCCAAATTTCGGGAGAAGTAAAAAAAAAAAAAAATTAAGGTAATTAAATTTGACCGTTTCAATTGCGTTTTTTTTTAAACTTTCCCTGAAATTTGGGGACTTGAAAGCGTAATGTTGAACTTACCGAGAAAATATTGAGGCAAAGTTAGGGGAAATTGGTTCATTTTGCAGAAAAATTGGATGACCTTTGAACTGACGTATTTGGGGGTTTGAACCCCCCCCCCCTTAAAATTAGTTTGAAGTACTCTCTGTGATTTTCACTTAAAAGTGCTTAATATTTGCTCAATTTTTCCGTTTTGTTTTCTTCTGTACAATAATTTAAACCGGAGTTATGATATTTTGAATATAGGTTAAATTTGACCTTTGACCTATCATAACTGGGTCAAAAATTAAGATATTGATTTGCGGATAGCGCCAAAATTCTTATTTTTAATGTTCTTTCCAATGATGTATCACAAGATAGAGGTTACTATTAGAAAAAAAATTTACTATTTGCCCCCTGAGGGCGGGGCAAGAATTTTGACCCCCTAGAAGATGGTCTCTTTTAAGACAGAAACATTCTCAAAGTTTCGTTTTTCTATCTCTAACCGTTCAAAAGTTATCAGGGGGGGAGGGGTTGGGACACCCTGTATGTAACGATAGCGGTCGCTGACATCCGCCACTTTTAGGGAAAACGCTTCTTTCGAATTCTGCAGCCTTCAAGAATAACCATGCCAAGTTTCAGACTTCCAGCGCTATTTTTCGGCGAAATATGAAGTGAAAACCATGTTACTTGTAAAAACAGCAGATATGAGAATCCCCTGTTCTGCCAGCCAGCGCGGCAGGACACCGTGGAGATTCGGACGCACTTGCGATGACTGCCCGCGCACCAGCCATGGGCTGCAGCTGACACTCAAATGATACGTATCGGGGCCGTCTCGCCAGAATTGATGAGTTTTTAACAGATTTTATAATTTGTTTTTTCTTTTTGTTGTGGAAGTTACAGACGGTTTAGTTTTTTGTTCAATTTAATTACATGACTGAGCATTGACATACTTTTGATTCATTTCAATCGTTTCACCAGCCTTACCCTTCCTGAAGACTTTGTTTCATGCATAAGAAAAATGTTTTCAATAAAAATAGTGGATATCACATTTTTTTCAAATCGCTGTTACTCCTTTAATTTTTCACTTACATAGGTCGTAAAACGTGTGTTTTTTACAAGAAGAGTTGCTCTTCATGATAATCTTCATAAGGATCCTCTCGGTTCTACAGGCGGCAAAGTGCAAAGCTTTGAAAACTTCAAACGTGATTTTCTCACAATGTGTAAACTCGACATTTGCAATTGTTACATTTAAGTCCTCATATACTTCTCTAAGAAACTTATGATGAACTTGTACGATGATTATGTCAGTGCTGATGTCCGTCTTTAGTAGAAAGAATCGTTTATGTATTCACCAACTTATCACACATTTGTGATCACAAATGTAAAGATGTAAAGACAAAGCGCTGATGCTGACCAAAGCTTATGAGATAAATCGCTCCTTTACATACGTAAATTTGCAAGATAGACTAAGGAATGACAAGTGTTCCCATATTACTTTCCATTTGAGGATTGAAGAAATTATCTCCTTCATGGATTTTGCTGTTAAATTGCTCCGTGGCATTCAGTTTGCAGCATCTCCCCCTCGCATCAAGGCATCAATAGTACAGGGGTTCGGATTACTTATGCGTAGACTCAACAAGGTGGTCTAAAAAAGAGGGCTTCTCCCTTCATTTTTGTTCTGAAATAATTTAAATGCTTCTCAAGTTCGGTTCTGCCATGTGCCTGACATGTTTCAAGTTTCAAGCAACTATCACATACTGCGCTGTACAGAATGACCCAAAACTCGTGGATACCTGCAAAACTTCCTAACAAATTGAGATAGAGACTTGAAATTTGGAAAGTGCTCAGGGGTCAACATAAATTACTCTTTGAACCAAAAAACATTTTTGAGGCCCCCCAGGAGGAAGGCTACCGACCCTGAATTTTTTTTTTTCATTCGTCATTGAAGGCCGCAATTCTCAATGCTTGGTCTGTTTCTGTCCATTCATCCGATTTCTTTAAATCTCTTGGCCAAATATCCTTTAAATTCTGGTACGGAGGCTTATTTTGTTTTCTAAAAGCAGATTAGGCTTACTTCCGGCAGGGCCGGATCTACATTTCACGTTGGGGGGTGCAAGCCCAGATTTTGGCGCCCCCCCGCGCCGGGGGGTCCGGGGGCCCCCCCGGAAAATTTTTGAAAATTACAGCGTACCAGACGGCCGTTTTCCGTAGTTTTTGGCGAAAAATTGATTTTTTTAAGTTTGATTTTTGAGGTCTCAAAGAGCGGTGTACACGCATGTAAAAATACTTAAAGTCGCATTCCTCAATACATTCTTTATGTGTGCTTTCTATAAAGCACTGTCAGATACGTACTTACACTTCACATTTTATGAATGAATATTGGGTGTACCAAAGGGTAGGTTGAAGCTCCAGCGAATGAAGGAGGTAAGTATAAGTAACATTTTTGTGATTTTTAGAAAGACGATTTTAATGTTGAAAAATTACGTGGGATCTTGCAGCAAAAAATATTATTTAAAATGGTATTTTGAGATGAGATTTGTTCAAAATCACCGCTACAGGTATTTTAGTTTTTCAGTAATCTCACTTACTCCCTTCATTCACTGGAAGCTTTTTCAACTGTGAAATTGTATCGTAGGGAAAGGCTTTTTTGAGGGTTAGTTGTTAAACAGAGTACAACAAAAACAAGAGAAAGAAAGGGATAAGTAGGTTTTAATCAATCCCATTAGTGGAACGTGCCAATAACATGTTTTAAAATTGTACTTTTCGTGCCTTTTTTTCTGAAAAAATGTCAATTACTGAATCAAAATTAACCGTGCGTAAGCAACTACACTTTCAATTGACAGAATGGCCAGATCTGTCAATCTTTCCTGCGACATGGTCGACCGCAAATAATTTTTGATGAGCTTTAACTTACTAAAACTGCGTTCACAGCTAGCGGAGGTTGTCGGTAAAGTGCAATACAAACAATGCGATACAATTCTCTCCCTCCCTCCCCTCCCCCTCTCACTCTCTCTAAAAAAAGTCATTGCCATTTTGGCGCCCCCCCCCCCTAAAGTCGTCTTCCTAAAGTCGTCGTCCTAAAGTCGCCTCGTCTTCTTTCATAGCTTAAGTTTACAGTCATCACTCATTGTTATTTTAATTTCGTTCTTTCCTTAAATCTAGCGCCTTTTTCACCCCTGAGTTAGCCTCGTTAACCCATCGGAATTCGTTTAACGATTCCGAGTGCATTAAAAATATTGGAATTTCCAATCCATACCTTTAACCTTGACGCCTTATGCTCAGTGCTGACTTTGACTTCAGCTTTCAGGTGCTCTTCAGAAGATATGAAAACTGACAAATTTCGCCCCTTTTTTCTAATGTTATTCCTGTTTTGAGCTTTGTGGCGATTAGGCGTCGTAAAGCGCCAAAGAGCGCTATAAAAGCGTCTCATATGTATGTATTCCTGTTTCGATATTCGTAACCTCCCTCTCCTCTTCCTCCTCTCTTCCCCCTTCTCACCCTCCCTCCCTCTCTCCTCCTTTCTAAAAAAAAGTCATTGCCATTTTGGCGCCCCCCTGAAGTGGCGCCCGGGGCACGTGCACCCACTTGCCCCCCCCCCCTTCCCTAGATCCGGCCCTGACTTCCGGCGACAGATTGCTAGCCTTACTTTCAAACTCAAGGAAACAGCATAGGCAGAGTTTAAGAAGAAGAGATAAGGACAATTTTTACTTTTTAGTATACCGGGAGAAAAATCGGCGAATTTTCTTGAAGATACGACAGTTTAATTATTGTACTCCACCGGACCCAGCACAATCCAGAATCCGGGGATTTCGACCGCCACCCCAACAGATAATTGATCTTCCTGATTTATTCTTGGTGAACATTGAAGCTGATACTTCTTGTTGTAAAAAGGCACATGGTTAAATAAAAAAATATCCTCAAGTGAACTGACTTGGTTCAAAATTATAAGATAAAACTTACCAGGGGCCTGAAAGCTACGAGGTACTTGCCCTTTGTTGGCGGTATCTTGTTGCCTAGTCCTTGGCTTGAGTTCTTTGGAGGAGATATTTCTCGCATCGACTGATTCATCGGCATCACTTTCACTGATACTATTCTCAGAATCATCATTCGCAAGAGCCCTCCTTTCTTTCTCTTCTTGCTGTTCAATGTGCACTTCAATCTCTCTCTCCACTTTCTGAAAGTCTTTCCTTTTCCTTACTATGCGTTCCTGGCAAAAAATGTAGGCGTTTAAATACAGCAAAAGTCAAAGAGGAGAAGCTTATAAAAATTCCAAGTTCTAATCCGAGGATGAAACACAAATAAAAATTATACGTAGGAGAGAGTATCGGTACCTGGGTGAATAAGGGTCAAATTCCAGGTTCTATTTCCTCCCAAAATTTTTTTGTGAATTTTTGGGCAACCAAACTTTATTTTGACTATCATTAGGTGTAGACTTCGGAAATATAGCTCGTCGAGCTTAATAGTTGGGCTTAAATCCTAATTTCCACCGTCAAGCGTATCACTTCCCAAAATTTGCTCTAATTTTGCTCGATTTCCCAAATTTTCATCTCAGAGGTGACATATAATTCTTCTAATTAAAAATTGAACACAATTGTCATAAAAGCATCGTCTAGCACTAAATTAAAGCATAATTGAAAACTTTCAGAACCTTCCAGAACCAAAAAAATTGAGAAAAAATTCATCCATCATGAAAGATATCTGGAGCTTATTCTGCTTGCCTTTTTTGACAGTTCCGTCTGTTTATCAAAATGCGCACTGTTTTCCTTTAACACGTGAAGAAGCTTTCAAGGCTCGGAATATTAAAATACAAAATGGACCAAAAACACCGAATTTTAAAACTTCGAGTGGGCGTATACCCGCTGAAGTGGAGATGAAGGCAGGAAAAGTTTGAGGACTAACATGAACATAAAAATTATACCGGTCATCTTTTTTTTTTTTTTCTTTTTTTTTTTTTCCCCGAAGATTTGCCAATGGTTTTGGAGTAGATCTTTGGTGCTGATTCTGAAGAACACCTCCATTTACCTGTGAATCAGTGCATTTATCCTGGGAAAGTTCGGAATTTTTCCGGAGAAATCGGAATTTCCTTAAAAATCTATCTTTTCAGAAGAGTCAATTTTCTGGGAGAATCTGTGCACGATGAAAAAAACCCAGGAATTTTTCGATTTCGTAGCCTAAGATACATAAGAAACCCTATTGCACCCCGCTTAAAATTTCCTTTCTTTTCCTAACACCAAAGTTTTCCGGTCCAGTTTCATTAAAATCAATTAATTAGTCACCGACATAGTGTTTTAAGCCACGGCCACCATCTCAGATTTTCGAATCTTGGAAATTTGACTAAAATTCGAGTACCAATTCATAAATACCCGCGGGTACCAAGTTCCGCGTAAATCGATTGATTAGGCGCTGAGATAGCATTTTAGACCATGTCCGCCATCTTAGATTTTCGAATTTTGAAAATTCGACTAAAAATTCAAATTCCCCATTGAAAAATACCCCCGGGTGCCAAGTTTCACTTTAATCGACTGATTAGGTGCTGAGATAGCATTTTAGGCCACGTCCGCCATCTTGAATTTTCGAATTTTGAAAATTCGACTAAAAATTCGAGTTTCTCATTCACAAATACCCACGGATACCAAGTTTTGCGTAAATCGATTGATAAGGCGCTGCGATAGCATTTTAGGTCATGTCCGCCATCTTAGATTTTCGAATTTTCAAAATTCGACTAAAAATTCGAGTTCCCCATTGAAAAATACCCCCGAATACCAAGTTTCACTTAAATCGATAGAAAAGAGCGCCTACAGGGCTTTAACAAGCAAGTCTCAGTTGTAACAGTTTTCCACTCTGTCCCATTAAACTGGGACAGGATGGAACGGGACAAGATGGAAATAAGCTGTTTTATAAGCTTAACTCGAACAGTAAAGAAAATTTTGGTGTTTTTTTCACGGAATATTTAGTAGCACATCCTAGAGTATCGGAATAAGAGAAAATTTTCCCTAACGCACACTTCGAAATTATTTTACGAGCTTATATTAGTGTGTGTGTGTATGCTTAACGCCCTGCTAGTTATCATGTACAAGGGGGCTACGCCCCCTGGCCGCTACGCGGCCCAACCCCCTGAAGGCGCTCCGCGGCCCTATATTTACCCTCCTATCAGTGTTAGTTTTATTTTTCCCCTAAAAAATTACGATATGAGGTATACTTTAATTTTAAACTTTACTTAAAATTACTTTAAAATTAAAAGGACGCGTTTTGGAATGACTGCTTGATGAAATATTGCAGTAAAACAATGAACAAAGATAGTCAGGTTATAATGCATATGTCACATGTCGGGGTTCGAACCCACATCGAGTTTAAGGTGGATGCATTCGACGTCTTAGACGACTCGGCCACCGCTCGTCACGAAGTCTCAGCGCGAATCTTGTGTAGATAAGTGTAGAGCTGATGCGCAGGCTACACAGCTACTGCGCAACCTCCTCGACCACTGCGCATCCTCCCGCGCATAGCGGTAGCAGTGCCGGAACATTCTGTAAACTCACTCACTTTTATAACGTGATTTTAAAAAAACCTGGGTCCTTTTTCCAAAATCTGATTACAGCGGGCTCATCTAGGGCCTATTACCTGTCGATTTACGCAAAAATCATGGAAATCGGCCCGGTAGAACGCTCAAGCGAACTATGACAAAAAGTATAAATTTACATTGTTTAAATGGGAGAATTCGCAACTTTACCACGTAATATAAAAAAAACCTGGGCCATATTTTGAAAATCTGAAAAGAGTTGGCTTATCTGGAGACAATTGCCCGTCGATAGCCGCAAAAATCATGAAAATCGGCCCGGTAGAACGCTGGAACTAAGCGTTACCAGTTTCGCAAAATTAGGAGGTCTTGGAGCTTATAGTATAGATAGCATTTTGTTTGGCATCGTTAATGGCGTTAATTTTGCACAAAAATTTGCGAATTTCAGAATTTTTGCCATCTGCGACGTGTGAACTATTCAATCAAAACAAAAAAAGTCGTTTTTGGAAAAACCTCAATGTTACGGCAATCATTTAGAGCTTATTACATCGTTGCCATGTCTCTCCTGACTGTTGCTCGGGACAATGATTCTAGCGCGTGAAAAAGTTATTGGTGGAGCAAAAAAGAAATTGACATATTTATTTTCTCTAATTCAAAAGCATTACCTATCATCTCCGATAAATTCTTAACTAATCACTCCCGTTATGCTGCAACATCCATTTAAAGTCAAGAACCAGGCACGGGGGACACGCAAAGGAGGAGTGTCGTTTTGGGCCTTTTCCGGCCCCACCTGGATTTTGCTGAATGTTTCATATTTGCAAAGTACTAGTCCTGGGTAGACTTTATGCTAAATATTTTACCGAACGGAGCCCTTGCAAAGGTGCAACAACGCCTCAAACCCAGAACCTCGGCATCGAAAAATAGTTATTTTCGTCAACTTTTTCGACTGTTATCACTCTTTCAGCTGATGATTCCTAAATATTTTTTTGCGTACTTTCCGTTTCTGGCCTTCTTAAAGGCCTCCGATAAATTTTAAGGGGCCTTATGGCTCATTGTTGCCATTTTGGCCCATTTTTAGGGGTTTTTTCAATTTTACACACGCAGAAATCAATTCAAAGCAGGAACCGTGCACGTTTTTTAAAAGAACGCAAAAAAATGAATAAAAATGTTCAGTAAAACTTTTTCCTACGTTGCCAAATTTTCGGGAAAAATCGTCCCAAAGAGCCAAAAATTCGATAAATTGCCACGATTAAGGTTCAAGAAAGTGGAGTACAACTTTTATATTGACGTACGTAATAGCTCTTACCTATATATACAACATATCAAAAAATTATAGTTGTGCCTGGATTCCCACAATGTGAAAATTGACCGGGATGTCGATTTTAGCGGCATTTCTTGACTTGAAGGTAGCTCTTTTGAATGTTTCTCGACCTTAGTCACCCTCTACGGGAGTGTACTATATGTATTTTTCTACGTACTTTTCATATCTGGCCATAAAAATGGCTTCCTGTGAATTTTAAAAGCCGTAACGGTCCATTGTTGCCAATTTTCACCAATTTTAGGGGTTTTTTCAAGTTTACATGTGTGAAACTTAACTTAATCTAAAAACCGTGTACATTTTCGGAAAGAACGTAAAAAAATACATAAAATGTGATTAGTAACTTTTCCCTCGTTGCCAAATTTTCGAGAAAAATCGTCCTGAAGCGCCAAAAATGCCAAAAATTGGATTAATCATCACGTCGAAGGTTCTTGAAAGTGAATTATGACTTTCATGTGGATCGTGGGACACTTTCCCCACGCAGTTTCTGTTGTTTGTTATATTTGGCCTGTAGTAAGCATCTTGAGAACCAAGGATTATCTCGAGGTTACAGGAATAAAGACGTGAACTGGAGTGAAGGATACGGTAAAAGCACCTTGAGGGTCCGTTTTGTCACGTTCATTTGAGCCATTACATGTTCCGTGAGACGCATTTCAATTTTCCGTTTTCGATACGTTATTTGTAGTGAAATAAAATTTAAAATTCACTTCCTGGAACCTACGATGTGATGATTAATCCAATTTTTGGCATTTTTGGCGCTTCAGGACGATTTTGCTCGAAAATTTGGCAACGTAGGAAAAAGTTTTACAGAAACACTTTTTATTAATTTTTTTGCGTTCTTTTCAAAAACGTACACGGTTCCTACTTTGAATTGATTTCTGCGTGTGTAAAATTGAAAAAAACCCCTAAAAATGGGCCAAAATGGCAACAATGGGCCATAAGGCCCCTTAAAATTTATCGGAGGCCTTTAAAAAGGCTAGAAACGGAAAGTACGCAAAAAAATACTTAGGAATCATCAGCTGAAAGAGTGATAACAGTCGAAAAAGTTGACGAAAATAACTATTTTTCGATACCGAGGTTCTGGGTTTGAGGCGTTGTTGCACCTTTGCAAGGGCTCCGTTCGGTAAAATATTTGGCATAAAGTCTACCTAGGACTAGTACTTTGAGAATATGAAACATTCAGCAAAATCCAGGTGGGGCCGGAAAAGGCCCAAAACGACACTCCTCCTTTGGGACAAATGTAGGCAATTTGCACATTCAAAGTTCTCCTAAATATTTATTTCAGTCCAAATAAAGTGGGAAATATCATGTAATGGTCAACAATAGTCTGTAAAATGAGACAAAAATTTGATCTGCCCATGTTTTTCAGATTATGACGATTAAAACAGCTGGGGACACCAGATTAGACGCTTATTTGAACTCACCCACCTAGTTATTATGGAGGTTTTGAAGGGTTGGCAGCCTCGAAAAATTCGAGTGCTCTTTGGAAGATGAAATACTCGTAAGCAACACAAAGCCAAAGAAAATAAATCAAACTGGCAACAAATGCACATCATTGGCACATTTTCGGAGATCAAAGTTCATTCAGTTCAAATTGATAAGTTTTTTTTGAAACTTTTTCTCTCCACGTTTAGAGCACTGATTTGCAAGGGTAAACTTCAGCTTTGAAAAAGGAAAAGTGGGTAAAAAAAAAAAAAAATAAACAAAAAACAAAAACCAAAAAAATTGGGACCACGCACGATTTTAGATCCCACAAACTGTCTTGAATAATTGAGAAAACACAACTTCTGAGGAAAATGATGAACTTAAATTTTTACTTTTTCCACCTTGAAATGTTCCTTATTTGCAATTCTCGCCCAGCTTTGAACTCTGCAGGGAGCCAACAGCTTCACTTAGATTTTAAAAAAAGTTGACAGAGGATAATAATCTGTCCACCCCCCCCCCCCCACCATTTTTTCCACTGTTTATGAAGCTGAACACGGTTTTGTGCTTGAGGGCTCGATAAGAACAATTACGGCCAAAACACTGTCAATAATGATGGCAATACCGCAACTTTGCCCCCTCCCCCTTCCTCAAAAACCGTTCGTGTCCAAAGGTAAAATTTTAACCGAAGTTTAAGGGTACCCCAGAGCCAGATTTCAGAGAAATTCCTGCGGTCAGGAATCGTGCCAAACTACTGCGATTTTTAGGGTCTCTCTTGGGCACACTGAAATTAGGAGGGCAAAATGATCCATTGGGCGAATTCACAGAAAAAAAACATATGCTTCAGTACCCTCACTGTATGCATCTTGTGTACGTTTGCAAGGGGTTCTACCACGAACTGAAATTTTTGGTACTATTTTTTTAGATTTAGTTCAGTTTCCTCTGGACGATTACAAAGAATAAAAGACAGGAAAGACATTTCTAACAAAAAAGTGTAAATTTGGTGTAAAAAATTGAGAATGGGGTATAACTGCATTGCTGGGCAGACCAAATAGGGCAGAACTCTTGTATTGAAAAAATAGACATTCTTTTCACTAGCATTTCAAAATAAAGCTGTTTACTTATCAGTCATACTCGTGAGGTAAAAGAATGAGGTCACAAAATTCAGGAGACATATTGGACAATGCTTTCTGAAATTAGCCGTCCAGGAAAGGCTCAAATTTTCCTAGTGAGACAAACTAAGTAACAAAACCTACCTTTATTTCTCTATCCGATTCCTCGCCATCTTTTGTATTCGGGACAGCCTCCTCTCCAGATGAATTGTCCGATTCGCTGTCGTAGATTCCCAGACCTAAATGGGTGTATTCAAAGAATTCAAATTTTAAGAACCATCAAAACATGAAAAAAAAAAAAAAAAAAAAAAAAAAAAAAAAAACATTTACTTTTTAATTATTTGCCCCTTTCAGCCATCAAGGGTTTTACTCTTTTTCGGGGCACTTCACTTACCAGTGAAAAAAGAGAAGAGTGATGTTTGAGTTATTGCATTAATTAGGTACTAGTTATTTATACAAAATGAGAAGAACTGTTCGATTTATACTGGTGGGAGAGGACCAATTAGATGTCCCACTGAGAAAAATTTTACTGTTCACGACTAGTACTTTGGAAGTATCTACCTAATTAATTTGCAATAAAGCTCTGATAGAATCAGAAATAGGCCGATTCTTGGGCAAAGTATCATTGCCTGATGTGTAAGTAAGGAAGGAGGGGTCAGGCTGACTAACGAGACGCCCTCCATGCGCCAAGGCAACTGTTAGGAGCCCTGCCCTGCTGTCGTGCATCCCTAAATTGGACCGTGCTCCTTACCTTCCATATTCCCAAAAGGCTTAGTAGCCGTCTAATAAGCCAACAGTTGGTCGCAAAGACGACTGTGGCAGACATTGCAAAGCTAGGAGCACGGTCATGTCCCCAGCGGGTTGGACTCTCTTGTTTCAATCTCTTACTGATAAGCAGTGCCGGCAATCGCGCACACTACGAGTGATCCCCGATTTTTTCATCAACTAGTTAAATCATTGACTGGTGTGCCGGGAACTCGTTTGAAAGGAACATTTTAGGGATACTGTTACATTACCCACGTAGCATTAGTTGCAATAAACCTGGATCATTCGAATCTTACAACTTGTCCTTGGCAGTGCGAATTGCTTGCTATCTCCCTTAAGAGAGATATTGCAACATGTTTCAACAAAGTAACAACAAGTTGCAAATTTATCCTGTATTGCTGCTTGCATAAACTCCTTTAAAAAGGAGTGCTAAGAGCTTTGTAAAAGTTGAAACCTAGAAGTATGGATTTTCAGGCAATATAATTTGAACTTAGAAAGAACCTATGGAACATCGATGATTTGAGAATGCCTGGTAGTTTTTGATCAATCGATATTGTTCTAGGTACGCTCCGTACTTTTTATTTACTTTTTATCCTTCAATTGTACATGCAATCATTGTCAGATAGTGCCCAAAGTCAGTTGGAATTCTGAAAACACAGATCCTTAACAACAAACTTCATACCCCAAGCTATGTTTAAGTTAGTGCGTACACATTGAATATTATGATTATTGAAGTGCTGGTTGGTTGTGGCATGTCTTAATAGTGCGAATGATAATAATCGAGGTTTCACATGGTATCAAAATGGGAATTACAGCCCAGAGACTGTATAAACCCGATTAGAACCTTATCTTAACGGAAAGATGGGGTCTGAAATTCTAATTTGGGATGCTGTACTGCAAAATGGTGCAAGAAGATAAGAATTAAAAAAATTAGGGTGCGGGGTGGAAAGTGAAACTTTGGGACGTCTTCGAGAAATCAAATTTGATGGGGTGTTGGTTGGTGGTGCTATCGGCAGGCCCGCCANGGGGGGGGGGGGGGGGGGTACTGGGTCCCTGGTACCGGGGCCCCGAAAGGGGCCCGTGCTGCCCGTGAAAAACCACCACGAATTCACATGCAACCCTTGATTCGGAAGAAAAAGTGAAAAATTTACCCTAAAAATTTCGCCAAAGGTGAAAAAATTTTCAAAAACACGCTGGGGTAGGTACTGTAGGATTCTTTTTAAATTTTCGAAGAAGTATACTTCTTGGAAAATTTCTATCTATTTTCAAGATTTTCGGTACAGAAGGATATTTTTAGTGACTGCGTTTCATTTTCTTCCGTCGTCTTATGCTAAGAGTCTCCAGTCTGGGCACCCTCGACCTCAAAGGCTCAGGGCTCAACTCCCTTGTCATAAACAAACGAAGGGGGAGTCCAGGGGGGCCTGGCCCCCTTAGAATTGAAAATAGTATCATATGCCCCCCTAGGGTGCGTCAAAAAAAATGAAAGTCTGAAATGTTCCGCTCCCCAGGCGGCAATCGATGACGTTTGGTAAAAAAACATGTTTGCAAAAATTTGGGCCAATTTCAATCATTTTAAATGGTGCCAAAGGTCAATTTTGTGATGAAATTATGATATTTTGGTTTAGACCTCGATTTCGTACAAAAAACTCGATTTTACGCTGAAATCGTGCGTTTACGAGAAAAATGTCAAAGAACTCGACTTGTAGAGGATGAAATTTTACACTAGGAGGACGTCTTTGTAACCGATAAAAATCAAATTGAACTAGAAAAACTCAACTCGGTATTTATTTTTTTGGTCCTCAGAATTTCCGAGGTCTTACTAAGTAGAGGTTTAAAAGACTCATTTTTCACGAAAATAAGTCGAAAGAGGGTATAAATGAACTGTAGGCAAGTGTTGAGGATGCAAATGTCATCAGAACTTCCTCAGTTTCAAAAAAAGTTCCAACTATTTTGCACAATCCTCCAAAAAGTGTACGACTCGAGAAGCAGGATCGTGCTATAATAGTAGGGGGAAAGTGCGGTTTGACCGGGAAAAATTGCGTAACAAACTTTCCCTATGTAATCGTCATCAGTAGGTCCCCCTGAACAACTTCCTAAAAGTTAAAAATGGCCCGACCCCGGAATATCCCTCAAAAAAGTTAAAATTGAAAATGGCGGCCGTAATAAGAGGGTCCGGGAAATCGGTATTTTAAAATGCTCATTCTGTCTCATCATGTGAGGTATCATTTCCTATGTAATTTTGGTCGTAGATTTCATAAATAAATTCCGCAAGGCCCTCCGGCCAAAGGGGGCGCTCCAAATCAAAGATGGCGGCCAAATGTGAAAGGCAGGAGGTTGCATTTTTTTAAATATTCACCGAAGGAACAAGGAAAGTGAAGTGTCTTTATTTTCATGTATTTATGGCCAAGAAACTTAAATTTGATGTTATAAATGTATTTAATAAAGGAAATTAAAGGAAACATACGACTACCGAGAGAAACGTAAGCTCAGAAGGGGCCTTGCGGAATTCATTTATGAAATCTACGACCAAAATTACATAGGAAATGCTACCTCACATGATGAGACAGAATGAGCATTTTAAAATACCGATTTCCCGGACCCTCTTATTACGGCCGCCATTTTCAATTTTAACTTTTTTGAGGGATATTCCGGGGTCGGGCCATTTTTAACTTTTAGGAAGTTGTTCAGGGGGACCTACTGATGACGATTACATAGGGAAAGTTTGTTACGCAATTTTTCCCGGTCAAACCGCACTTTCCCCCTACTATTACAGCTTGATCCTGCTTCTCGAGTCGTACACTTTTTGGAGGATTGTGCAAAATAGTTGGATTTTTTTTTTGAAACTGAGGAATTTCTGATGACATTTGCATCCTCAACACTTGCCTACAGTTCATTTATACCCTCTTTCGACTTATTTTCGTGAAAAATGAGTCTTTTAAACCTCTACTTAGTAAGACCTCGGAAATTCTGAGGACCAAAAAAGTAAATACCGAGTTGAGTTTTTCTAGTTCAATTTGATTTTTATCGGTTACAAAGACGTCCTCCTAGCGTAAAATTTCATCCTCTACAAGTCGAGTTCTTTGACATTTTTCTCGTAAACGCACGATTTCAGCGTAAAATCGAGTTTTTTGTACGAAATCGAGGTCTAAACCAAAATATCATGATTTCATCACAAAATTGACCTTTGGCACCATTTAAAATGATTGAAATTGGCCCAAATTTTTGCAAACATGTTTTTTTACCAAACGTCATCGATTGCCGCCTGGGGAGCGGAACATTTCAGACTTTCATTTTTTTTGACGCGCCCTAATGCCCCCCCCCCCAAAAAAAATAAAAATTTCCCAGATGTTTTGAATGCAACAATTCGCAAGTATTTTGTGCTGAAAGTAGAAAAAAATGCGTAATTATGCCGCAGAAATTGATGGAAAAATTCGTCATGGAAGCTTCGAAATGCGTTCGAATAGATTTATAATACAAAAATTTCTCGGGGGATGCCCCTCGGTCGCCCCCTTTCGTGCTTGGGGCCCGGGCCTTAAGACTGGTACCAGGGCCCGAGATGGGATGTGGCGGGCCTGGCTATTGGATCATTAAATGAGGGGAGTTTTACCAAAATGAAGTACCTTTCTAGGGAAGGGAAGGACGTCAGCAGGCTTTCATGTGACTAAGGGTTCAAAACAAGGATGATGTTTTTCGCCCACTATAACTAAAATACAAATCTATACTATGACAGTAGTGTCAGCAGCCATGTTCGCAGACAAGCAACTCGTCAATTTTAAAATGGAGGGAGGGGGATGTTTGGGTGTCCCATTTTGGACGACGAAAGAAAAATTTGCAGAAACCAATCGAGATTCTTACCAAAAAGTTTCCTTCTGGTTAGAAAAAAATCACACAAAAATCTTGGGATCGTGACTAAAGGTTAAGTGGTCCTGCAATTAAGGCACGTAAGTGGGATACACCAGAAAGGAGTTTTTCATATTAACCATTTCTAGCGATGAGAGCACCCTGACGAAGAAATTCATATATTGCTAATTTCATCTCACCCTACAGCGAGTCCCGGAGGCTGATCGGTTAGAATGCTAGACTGCAGAGCACGTTGTTCCGGGTTCGGTGCCCAACAGACCGTAACTTTTTTTGGACTTTATAAACTCCGAATCATGATTCTTGGTATCAAAAGGTCCAGAACTCCTTTTTTTTTCTCTTTTTTCTCTAAATAAGTGATTTATACAGGCTTAGCGGTTAGGTTAGGTTATCGGCTCTTAAATAAATTAGCGAAATTCTGTTAAATGGACAACTTCAGGTTAAATTAATGTTTTTATTAATTTTTTTTTTTTTTTTCCGCCTTTAAACATTACGCGCTGTTTTGTGAAGCAATTAATGAATACTCAACACTAAGAGAAGCGTAATAATGAGGGTTGTGCGCTGTGCGCACTGCGGACATGGCCTGCCATGCCACACGGCGCGGCGTGGCCGGTGGCACACATGAAATTCTCCCCTGTGCTCTGTCGCATGGGAATTAGTAAAATTAGGAATTCCCGCCAGTGAAGAATGACGGGAATTTCACATTTGGTAGAAAATGTAATTAAACAAGAAATGCTGAATCTTTGTTTGTGTCTACCTCTTTTTTCATGTGATCCGATTTTGGAATGAACGGACGGGATTGACAGTAGGCTGTACATAAGTCGAAGGCATGCTTCTCCCCTATAGACCATTCAAAAGCGACGAAACGCTCCGTTCTACCCATTCGTTTCGTTTTAGTCTCGGCGGGAAGTTTGAAATAAAATGCCGATTTCCATATTCGATGCTTTTTGGTTCAATTGCTCCAAGCCAGGGGGAGATTGATCCAGCTCTATTCAGATTAAGTCACCAAGGCCTGCGAGCCTTAAAGGGCGCAGAGCCAAGCGCCCTCTGAGGGGTTAGGCCGCAAAGCGGCCAGAAGGGACAGCCCCCTAATTCTCAATAAGTCCTTACAGAATGAGAGAAAAATGTGCCAGGATGGGTGTGGCCTTGGCTGCTGTTGAAACATTATTCACTCTGTGCTTTGCCAATAACCTGGTGCTGATTGCACGAGACCAAGATGACACAGAGTAAATTAGCTGTAAGCAAGGTGAAGGAGGACCACCATAATGAAGAGGTCAGACGTCCGAAAATCTAAACATTACAATTTTACATTTTTGACACCACAGCTCGCTGACAACACAGATTGTTTACGGTGCATGCACCAAAAATAGACTCCTTGCCTAGTAACTTAACGTACTCCCAAAGAAAGGTATAATATCTGTCATTTTCATTTTCTCTGTTACTTTTAATGTTATACTAAAGACAGGTAATCTTCGGTCACACTCTGAAATTGCATAATCTCATTTAGTGGGGACAAACATTTCAAAACCAACATACAAGACACCCTAAGATTAAGATGCACATGTCTGGCGGCCATCTCCTCACTGCTGAAGGATATTTTGCTGCAGCATTTAAACCGGTGTTCGAAACTCACAGGCGCCAACGCGCCAAATGCGCCTAAGAAATGGGTCATGGCGCCTAAAAAATGAAGGCTCTGCGCCAACCAGGCCCCTAAAAATTGCCCCCTCCCTCAAACACAATTCTAATTTTTCTGTTAGGTAATTTTTTTAAATTTTGACGCACCGCACCGGATTCTAACTTTTCACTAGATGCGTGATGATATAGGGACAAAAAGTAAATTTGGCCCCTAAAAATCGAGCATGATGGGCCACATGGCTCCTGAAACTTGAAGGTGAGTTTCGGACACTGATGTATACTGTCATGCAGCTATTGCAATAAAAATACCACTAAGTAAGAACCAGGAGCAGTTCAAAATCATAGAAATTCTTCGAAATCTAGCACTTGCATTCCTCACAGAAAAGCAGCAGCAGAATATAAGCAAGGAAAGATTTAAAATATACTTTTATCAGTATTGTGCAACATTGATGCATTGTTTACGATACTATGTGATATTGCACCTAGCTCCTTTGACAAAATTTTAAAACATAAAATTTTTGAAAATGTTATTGAATTCCTCTGTTCACATTAAAATTTCTATTTTATTCTAATGTTGAGAAAAAAATAAGAGGGAGAAAAATAAGAATTAATGATTCCTCATGTGTAAGACTTACAGAATTTAATGAGTATAAAATAAAATTAAGTACCTAATACTTGAATAAAATTTGTATTTTCTGTGCAGTCCAGAGATAATGTGAAAGTAAAGGGAAAACATTGAAAAGAAGCTGATTTTTGGCATATTGAGTCTTTACGACCCCCCCAAAGAAAGTCCTCATTGACAGTTAGACGGATTCGGTTTTTTTTTTAGGGGGGGGGGGGGGGGTAGAGCCCCAAAATTGGTTTTCCGGTCATGACTAGAGAACGGTCCCTCGTATCACTACCTATAGTACCATTTTCTGAATAGTGGGGGTGAGAGTTAATTTTTGTTGTGTTCACCAAAGAGTCATGATAAAAAGCCATATTTTAGGAGGAATTTTTTACTTCAGCATGCCTTCTCAGGCAAAGACACGACCTCGTGAATTTTCGAGAGAAGCAAGTTAATAGAAAAAGAGTTGTTTTGCTGCAGCCGCTGAAAGTCTCAAAGAAGCAGGAGTATCACCGGAAGTAATTGTTTTGTGATGGAAAAAACTATTTCTAGGGTTGTTTGGTGCTGCCAAGAAAATCTAGTCCTTAAATCAATTCAGATTCAATTGCTTCATGAAAAATATCATGGGCGCAACAAAAAAAAATCAACTTTCATCCCTGCCACCTACCAAAGAAGCCGCAAAAATACACTCTTTCCGTGTATACCACCAGGCGCAGTCATAACTTGATAACACTTTGCCAGGAGTAAAATGGGGTTGGCACAAAAACCGAAAACTTTCTTCAGTTCAATCAACCCTTGGTCTAGCAGTGGTATGAAACAGAAACTGGAGAATAGGGTCTGGGACTTTGAGGCCACTAGACCCTGGCTGGAGAAAAGAATCTGATCAGACCATGTAATCCGGAAAATACCGACCAGCACAGGTGGCATCAAAGGCAGTATGCAAACGCCTTAAAAAGTTCATTAAATTCTCTTCAATATTCATGGGTTGTTTTAAATTTACCACTTGAAGGCTAAACTTGCGTAAAATTTTAGTTTCGTATTCAAAATTTTGAGGAATTTTCTCCGAATATCTTAATCCTCTCCCTCCCCCAAATAATAACAAATGAACAACAGATGTTGGCAAACTTTATCTAACTGCCGAGAACCTAATTTGTGTAATTTTTGATAAATGTGTTTAAATTTAGCTGATACTTCTCATAGATCAGTAGGTCCAATTGCAAGAGCAGTTTCTGCCCAGCAGCACAACAGGAGCCAGGGTTTTGACTCTTACCACTATTTTCCCGAGTATTATCATCCCCCTACTTCCCTTTTTTTCATTATTTGAAACCTATAATGATAAGATTATCATGTTAAAAGTAAGCTAAATTTTAAGGCAAAGAGGAGGAACCGACGAGGAGTAAAGATTGAAAGGCGCGGTTACAGTAGGCATAACTTCATGAGTGTCTGAGTTGGAGGAGCAGAGAAGCAAAATTGAGAGTGATAGGCGAGGGCAGCAGAGAAAAGTCAGCATGGACTAGAAAATAAGGAGGCAGGTTGGGCTGCACAATCGTTCAATTCTTGGAAAGAGAATACGAGAAACTTTAGTTCATGCACATGAAGTTGGGAATTTCTCAAAAACCACTTGTTGAATCTCTTCTCACCCTTAAAAGCTAGTGATCCGAATGGCCCACTAAGTAAAATATTGTCATTAGATTTGACTGGACAAGATACCTGATGAGGAACTGTACGTTCTTTTTCAAAATAGAAAAAGAACGTAAAGAATTCAAGAGAGATGAGTTTACAGAGAAATAAGAATAATAAAAACTTACCTAATTTTCCAGTTACAACTGACGATTGTGGGGTCTTCTCATTACTCGGTGCTGGAGCTTTATCATAGAATAAAGATATTATTACGAGGATAAAATTAAAATTACGAGATAGAGGAGGCAGAAGAAATAAATCAACCTTTACAGGTCTACAGCCCATTCAGCTGAAGAAGCAATGTGACTTTAGTCTCTTAAGGTTTGATCGAGTTTCTTCATTTCCAATTCCAGGATATGCCTATTCTAGTAATGATAAGAAGGTTCCAAGATAAGCTCACTTTTGTAAGACATCAAATTAAGATCAAAGAAGTAAAAAATAATTGTTGCAGTCTTGAAAATGTTTTAATCTTCATTATATAGTTTTTCAGGTATTAAAGGGAAGGATGAAAACAAGAGAAAGAATTACGATTGAAAAATGGACACACGACAGCTTCCTTCTCTGTAGCCTACGAGGAAGGTAAGTATTATCGTAATAATTGACAAGCTGTGAAAGACACACTATTTCAAGACCTACAAATCGTACGATTTTTTAGTGGAAATGGAAGAGATGAAAATTAAAAGCGATCTATCCAAAATAATGGGAAACTTTAATTTTCACTAGGCAAATTAGCAGAAAAAGACCCGTTAGACTGACGCAGTGAATATATAAATGAGGAGCTAGAATCTTGCAAGATTATTTTTTTCTTTCAGGGCAACTCTTCTAGAGGCAACACTCTTTAAGATCCCCTTGGCGATCTTGGCAAAAAAGCGAGAATTTTAGTGCCTCTCAGAAAATATGGAGAATTATTTTTTGAAAGGAGAAAATGTGAATTTTTTTTTTCCAAGAGAATATGTTTGGCCTCCATTATTTCCTTTCAGATGGGAGAGATGAATTATGAATCTACGTGATTCTGTCCCCACATTGTATGACTCAACAAATGGGAATTTGTTACTTTTTTGAAAAGGTACACAATAATCACGGTACACATTGGTACTTGAAGCAATCATTAAACGCTCCGATTCGTTCGGATTAAACCAGCCATAAGAAAGAAGCAAACATCAGCTTGGGATTTAAAATGGAGCCTCAAAGCAGTGTTCACTATTTTACATTCGATTTCCTCTTGATATTTTTCATTATTTTCCATGAAACAGATCTCATTCAAAACATGTAAAAGTAGGCCTCTAGGTTAAAATTGTGAGTAATGACTTCCCTATGATCTCCAAACAGTTTCATTCCATAAAAATTCCAAGACAAATTTTTTGTATTACACATGCATAATAGTAAATCAACATACAATAACTCTAAACATTTTGTCCTAAAAACTCCAAGTTTTGGAAAATGTACCCAATTTTAAAGTTTATTGGGATGACATAAGGCTCTCAACCGCCCCGGCCCCACCGCGGTACAAAATCAGTGGAATTTTCAGTCACGTAATGAAAGTGACTATAATTTAGAAACTTCCGCCTTACAATCATCACGGAAAATTTTTTAAAAAGATAATGCAGGATGTTTCACAAGAGATTGAACTAATGGAGCCCCAAAAAACGTAAAAGTAGACTTAATTTTCCAATAGCCTGGTGAACTTTTTTTCTTTATTTTTGGCTCAAATGACTCAGAGGACCCTACTTTTAGAGTATCATGACCTTTTGGTTGATCATTGAGATTTCATTTGAAAATCATTCACACAAGCCGTGACTAATTTCCTTTTTTTTTTTTTTTTTTTTTTTTTTTTTTTTTTTTTTTTTTTTTTTTTTTTTTGCAAGCAAGAAATTCAAATTTTGCACAGCCCAAGATGGGTGAAACTGATAATACTTTGGTCAGAGGATTATTCCAATTTTCATTGCAAGAATCATGTTTTACGTAAAATTTTGAAGGGGACACATTCATCAAAATGCTGAAATTTGTACCTTGTAGAGTGGTTTATTGCACAGAACTTATTAAAATTATTTACTGTTTCGGTATGCCTGCTCTCAAATGGGTATAAATAGCTTCCACACCAAGCTCTTCATTTACGCCTCATTTTCAATTGAGCTCATTCAGAAGATGAAGAGTACCTCATGTTCTACTTCGCAGTGATAATGTTTCAGATTATGCCCTTAGTGCAACTTTCTGTTTAGAGAAGAATTACTTCCGTCCTTTTTATGATGGATTTGACAATTACACTCATTACCAGAGAACATACTGCATACCCTTTACTTGAATATTGTTGCCAGTTACACTTATTTTACAATAAGTACATCACTCACATTTGATTTGAAGTACAATCTATTATTTAGGCATCTGAAATAAAAAGTTACTACTGACTTTTTTTAAAAAAATAAATACAACTTTTAATGCAAGGAAAGAATGATTTGCATCATTTCACAAACTGCACTTCACTTAAAGCACTCCTGAAAATGAAATGAAAGTTACAACTATTTTGAAAAATATCCAAAGTCTAAAATATTTTTCAAGAGGTAAATAATTTGAAGACCGAAGGAAAAAATAAAAATCCAGCGATATGCCTATCTAAATCAACCAATACATCTCTGTAAGCAATCGATAAATCTATCAATAGACTAATTTCCAAAATAAATGATTTCTTCATCAAATGAAGGCGACAGACAAACCTTTGAAGTCCACACGTCAAGAGAAAAGAAGAAGAAAAAATTACGAGGGATGAAGAGAGCAACAAAAAGAAAAAGAAAAAGTGAACGTTTGTACCTTTTTTCTGCATTAAGGAATGAACTTGATTTACCACTTTTTCCATCTCGTATGTTGTCACCTCCATCAGTATTTGGGTGAGAATTCTTCGAACTTGCAGCATCTGAAAAAAAGTGACAAAATGTATGTCCCACACAAAGCAACTTCCAAGTTTGTTCAGAGGCTTTCCAAATTTAGACAAGGGATTAATCAATTAAGATACTCATCAATCAATATTATAAAGCTGCAAGCACGCCAGAAATTCCCACATCCGCACCTGCACAAGTCACAGCAAATAGAGTCAATGGAAGCAGTTGGTCATCGTGCATCATGCATCTTGTTTTTTTCGATGGGGGAATGCTTTCACCCTTCGAATAGGAGTAGTTGCAAATATGATAGGTATTTTTTGCCGTGGAATTAATTTTGTAACATATTATTAGCAAATAACATGTTTCTTTACTATTTGGATGCACTTTTTCATGACGATTGGAACTGAGCTTCGAACTTAATAGCTACTTTGCAGAGGCTATTCACGGTGTTTTTAGCATATGCAGCCATAACCCAGTAGGCAAGATTTTTAGCATAACTTGACTCACAGATATTACCTAAAGGTGGAGGGAGGTTCACTAGAATCGGCCAAAACACAGCTTTTCTAGAGTAACAAAAGGCAGTAGTGCAGAAAAATTGCTCATCAGCATAACTTCAAAGCTTACCAAAGGCTTTCTGTCTTTAAAAATAAATTTTTAAAGCTTGTGCCTTTCAGTTTTGTGAAAAATTAATTATATAATGGATATATTTTTTCCCGATTGTACCATACGTTTTAAGCATGACAGAAATCACTCAGGGGCTCCTATTATATCGGTCATAACTCACATAATATACTACCTTAAGGTGTAATAATTAGTTTTTGGATCAATATCATTTATAAGGCGGCGCTCCCCCCCCCCCCCATGCCCTTAGATATCCTAAAACTGCAATGGGTCAGTTGCGCTGATCGCAGAATCATGTTTTGATGCTTGATTCTTGTAAATCAGCTAGAAATAATAGGTCCAAAAAGCAACTCTCTGTGTTCAGTATGAACTGAACCATCACGCTTTCAAAGATTCGGTTTCCGACATCATCCACCGCGGTAGTGACACCCTTGGTTTCTTCCACCCTGCTTTTATGCAAGTTTTACAAGGAATAACCGGTGATAGTATGTGTCGCCCTACCTGATGAAAGCAAGGTGGAAGAAACAAAAATGTCACCGCGTTAAATGACCTCAATAACAGAATTTTTCAAATTGCGATAATTCGGTTGAAACTGATCGTAGAGAGTTGCTGTTTGAACAGATCTCATTATTTTTAGCTGATCCACAAGAATCAAGCATCAGATTTAGTACACGATGCTGAGACCAGCGCAAATGACCCATTGCAAAAGGCACCTCGACAATTTCATCGAAGTACCATTCACAATTGCAGTTTCAGCATATGGGGCATGAGAGACCCTAAAAGTTTTAATAATCCAAAACTTCATACTCACAACTTAAAGCGAGTTAGGGCGCAACAAAATAAGGACTCTGACCGATTTCAATCATGCTTAAAAAGTACTGTAGAATAAAAAAAAGACACAATAAGTAATTTCTCACAGAACCGAGAGGTTCAACCTCTTTCTTTAGAAGGAAAATCCCTTTCGATAAGTAGGTTTCAAAGTTGTGCCGATACGCAACTATTCCACGCTCTTGCGTTATGATTCTCGAAAAAAGCGAGTTTTAGGCCCACTTTGAAGTTAGCAGCCCACTGACCACTAAGGTTGCCGAATTCCTTTCGTTTTTTGGTTCATGTTAATTTGCTTCACACATCTGCTGCAACATTCTAGAACCTTCTTGAATTTATTCGAAATGTTAGAGATTTGGTAGAAAAGAATGTGGTTTCCAAAGCTTTTTACAATCATTCACTTCAAGTGAGTGATGAGGGTTCAGTGGGCATAGCCGCCTGGCTAACCATGAAGGGCGGCGAACTTAAAAAGGCTAAAAATGAGCAATCAATTATTGCTTGTTGGTAACATCTACACTTAGCCCCGAGGAATACTTCTCAAAAACTAAGGGCATCTCGAGTATACTTACAGTTTCTTCCATTATCTGTTCCTTTGACTTAGCATTTGAAAGAGGCATCCGATCAATGGATGGAAATGCGCGACGATACTTCACAGTAGATGGTCCTTTGAATTTTGGGTTTGGTGTTTTTTCATATGTTTGTGAGGCATCAGCTTCTGCATTTCCATCATCCTCAGAATCGGAATCCTATGACAAAACATTGATAATGACGTAAAAAACGACATAGACTCTATAACCAGAGGATTCTACAGAATTCTATCAAGAAGATTTGTCTACTGGACTTAAGTAGTACGGAAATGAGTACCTGGGCACAATCGATAAATCGATCTTCAATATGTCGATTTTGAATCTTCGAGCTATTGAAATCGACTCACGTATCGATATTCGCGCTATCGATTTAAACCCACCTATCGGTCTCAAGCTATCGATTTGGACCCAACCTAACCTTATCAAAGTGCTGTGGTATCGAGTGACCTAACCTGAGTACAGTAGTATCCAGTTACTAAACTATCGATCTCGGACCTCACCTCAGCCGAACGATTAAAAAGGTTGGCGAATGACCTGACCTACCTATGGCGGTATCGAGTATCTTGGTGGTATCGAGTGACTTAACCCAAACACGGTGGTGTCGAGTAGCCAACTTATTGATCTTCGACCCATCATTTTACAGCATTGTCTAATGGTGCCAAGAAATATTTAAATTGTTGGTTTGCTTTGGCAACACCGTATTTGATTTAATGGACATCCAACCTAAGTCGGATGGTGACTGGTGACGTGGAGTGGCGTGGCATGCTTTGCAATTTATCGACTGATCTGCGAATTAAACCTATGGAGAAGGATCATTAAACGGGATGTTCGCAACGAACACTTTAAAAAGCGATTCTTAACCACAGCTTGAAACGGCAAAACATCGAAACTCGATTATTGACGCATCGCCACTGGTGATGTAACAGAAGTGTGGTGGTAACGAGTCAGGACAAGATCTGCAGCCTGATTGTTGAAATTTATGTCAGTACGACAAGAATCGAAAATCGATACATTACACGGCGCAGATAGGGTTATGTCTTGTCTTATCTTCCCGACATGGCCAGTTAAAGTTTCAACAATCAGGCTGCAGGAATGCGTACTCTGCCATCTGCGGGTAAAGAGGCAGATACACCTGCAAGCTAGACGCGGTTCTTAAGCGGCGAATAGACCCTCGGCCGTGTTTGGCAATCTTTGTAGCCAATCAGGTTGCAACTCGCAGCCTGTAACTCGTTCACAATGGGATCGGGTCTTTTTCAGGTCAAGACGCACGTGTAGCGCGTACGTGTATCTGGCCCTTAAGTGAAGGTACTGGACAAACGATATGGCAGGAGATTCAAAGGATGCGGGGTAGAGAGCTAGGTCCAATCAATTTAAAAAAATAAAAAAAAAGTGTTTACACCATTTTCGTTATCGTCAAATATATCTGATTAACGTCATCCTTCAATGACGTCAACGTTTAAGTAGGTTAGCGTTATCAACCGCAAACATCGATGCCTTCCTCCTCCAAACTAGAAATTGACACTTGAGTCATCTTGAAGCCCCGATCAAGTTTCACAAATGAAAAAAATGTGTATTATGTAATTGTTCCTTATTTCTAAAAATTGAAAGTAACAGCAAAAATATTCTAGTGTGGGAAATGATCTTTGTAGGTTCATGACTGAGATAGGTTTGCTTGCTTATTCCCGTGTGATAACTGTGCCAGCGATGTCTTGAGGTTCTCAGAATTGTTTGTGGTTTCCCCAAGGAGGTAGTATGAAACTGAACATTACTGATATTGATAAGGATGGACAAACTGTGGGATACTTCCAAAGGAGAAGGCTCCATGTTAACTAGAGTAAGGGGGCGGGCGGCGGGGGGTGAATCGTGCCTATTGAGTGTACCCACGCACATGAATGTGCTATTAAAATTCCGAGATTTATTACTCGAGTGATTCAGATACCTAATATTTGAGTAAATTTCAATTTCAAAATACAGTTACCTACTTGAGAAAGTTAATTGAAAAAGAGTAAAAGTTATTGTTACAGGCATTACACTGTAAACTTATTTCAAAAGGTAAAATAATTCTGTTTATTTGTTTCAACTACATCATCCCTCTTATGTGTACAGTATGTTTGTATTGATGCTAGCAGCAAGCTTTTCGATACTAAATTTCATCACTCAGCAATCTATCAGATCATATTGAAAATTCATAAAAACGTTACTTTGAGTCATACTCTGGATGAAATAATGAGTTATTCAAGAACCAACCGTGAATGAAGTAGTCAAGCACAAAATATACCAAAATTGGTCTATTTGGCGTGGCATGACTTTAGACTAGCTATTTTGATGACTTTTGAGTTTATTATTCTTTAGAGCATGCAAACATCTAAACTTTTTTCCAACGGACTTTACACCATACTGTAAGGAGCATGGTAAAAAAAAAAGTTGTCGATGAATGCAATGGCATAAGAAATATGTTTATTTCTGCTGAGCACTTAATTTCTTGTTGAAAATAGGGCAACAGGACTTTATTTCAGCACTTCTGTAGCAACTACAGTCTTAAATCACTTTTTTCTTGAGACTACATTTTAAGATCTGTTAATCTTCAAAATGTATTAAAGCTCCTCATTCTTATTTATCAAGGGTTGAAAATTTTTACTTGATAATTGACCGAAGGTCTCTCTAAGATACCAATCCCTGAAAAGTGCTAGAAACTGACTTACTTATCGCATATTTTCTCAATTAATAAGTAGGTATTAGAGTTGGGCCGGGTATCCGGCGATTATCCAACCGCATTGCAGATATCCGACTCTGGCCGGATACGAATTTGGCGGGTATCCGTACCCGGCCGGATAATTACGCTATCTGGTTTTTGGACCCCTCTCCCGGATGGTGCTTTTTAGACCGTGAAAATATCGAGAAATTCCTGGTGATATTTTGCCTTCTTTTGGCGCTTTTCGGCGCATTTTGACTAGTCATGGTAATTGTTCAAATTTTCGAAACTTGTAACCGGACTTAAGTATATTTTTGGATAATAAAAATGATTTTACTACAACACAAAGATAGATCACAGAGGCAGCGTCGATCAGCATATGACATAGATGGCTTCCTCTTCATTCAGTAGACATTTTTAGAATGCGGAAATTTAAGGAGACAGTATTTCTCTTATACATTCTTCATGCAATAGAACGTTACTTCACATTAAGTTGCTTTATTACTAGTTGATTTAACAGGAAATATCAAAAAACGTGTGTGGGAAAAGAAAACTTCATGAAAAGACTTACAAATTTACTTTTCATTAGTATTTTGGGGTCATTAGATTGCTCCAGACAACTTGCTTGTTTTACATTTTCTAGAGCTTGCTTTTGACATTCTTGCTTCAACTGTTCTTGTTCAATTTTTTTCTGCTTTTCTCTTTCCATTTTTTCCAGCCCCTCACGAATCCAAGCGGGTAAACTCCTTCTTTTGGCAGCATCTGAAAATGAGAAAAAATAGGATATTAAAACTGGAAAAAACGTATCGTTGGATTTCATGAATAAGTCATTGCAGAGAACATATATACATAAAGGCCACTTTCCAAGCGCTCTCGGGCACTCAACGACACCCAGCCGCCAAAGTCCCCTATCCTCCTTAAGCCCTTCAGGCAGTTGACACTCCCTCATTTCCTCTAAAACCCCCTGTCACCACCATTTCACTGGGCGTCCCCTTCGTCTCCTCCCAGGAGGAACCCAATTACGCAACTTCACAAGCAGCCTTTTTTCCATCATCATGTTAACATGACCACACCAGACAAGCTGTTTGTTCATGACATCAAATACAATGTCATTTTCGATGCCCATGATCTAACACACTCTATCATTGCAGACCCGATCTCTTTCAGAAATTCCAGCCGACCGTCTCCAGAAATCCATCTTTGTTGCTCTTATCATACCCTGTGTCCGTTTCTTCAGCTGCCAAACTTCACATCCATACATAAGAGTGCTTTTGATTACAACGATGTAAATTCTCCTCTTGTTCTCTTGTAGACCTGCCAGCTATAAAACCAGCATGCTTCTCTGCTTTGTGATCTTCCTCAATCTTTGCTTTCAGTACCTTCCGGGGTAAACTATGATGCAACTGTTGCAGTTGAGGGCCAATTTTTTAAAGATCTGAATGAAGAAATCACAAAGATGGCGGCTGGCAGAGAAGTAATTGTTATGGGTAAGGTCGGTAGACCTAGGTCAGTCTGTTAGCTAAATGTTCTTTGGAATTTCCCAATCTGGTAACGGATTCCCTGGATTTGTTGTTCCACTACTTTCCCAACGTTTTCGCGATTTGCACTGCCCCGTTGCATAGATCCTCCCTGATCTCCCCTATCTGCTTAAGACCAATATAATCGCATCAGAAGAACAGCAGGGTGGGACAAGCAAATGGGGGAAATCAGTTGGTAATGCGGACAGCCCTCCCTCCCCCCCCCCCCCCNGATTCACGAAAGATTATCACACTCAACTTTCCTGACGGACTAATCCAGGTCTATCAACCTTAGTTATGGGTGATATGAACAGCAGAACAGGATGACAAGCTAACTGTGAAGTTGTTGGACCATTCGGGGAGGATGCTGTCAATGATAATGGAGATTGGCTGATCAAAATTTGTACTCAAATGGAGATGAAAATTCTGAATGGTTTTTTCCGGCACAAAGACATTCATAAATATACCTGGGTCCTGCTTACTCTAGGATTGAAATCCATCATCGATTACATGATAGTGAGGCATGCAACTAAATTGAAAGGGCAGCAAGTCCCAGTTTACAAGGGACTTTCTTATGGCAGTGATCATCATTTTCTCAGAGCAAATGTAGCATTCCCCGTTAGGGGCAGAAAGGACAAACAGTCGATGCAGCAACAACAGCAGAGGCAGGGACTGCAAGAAAAAGAAGTGCGGCATAACATTGAAAGTTTGGAGCACCCTGGCGTAGAGGCTCTTTACATGAAACGCTTAGATGCTGGGGGATACGCTGGGGGATAGATAAGCTGGAACCACCGAAGAACAATATCAATTCATTTAAGAATGCATCCTCTCTCCTACGAAAGAGGCCCTAAGTGTTTACAACACCAGTGAGGAAGACCAGCGCCCGTACTGGTGGGATAGAGAAATAGAAATAACAGAAAGTCATTCAGAGTTACAAAATAATATCACAGACAACGGAACTTTGAACAACTAGGAAATCCACATTAAGGACGTAATTAAAGCGGTCAAAGAGCTAAAAAATGGCATAACACCGGGCCTAAGTCGAATTCCTGTTGAGTTGGTCAAAAGTGGGACTTTCAAGCTCTCCGAGTGTCTCAGAAAACAGATGCACCGATACATCAGGGGTGACGAGGTTCCAGGAGAGTGGGAGGAGTCCTGGATCAAGGCCGTCTATAAAAATAAGGGAAGGACGACCGTAACAACTAACACGGGCTCTCCATGACCGGACTCAAAAGACTGCAAAGAACTCGGAGAGAATTCTCAAGTGAAAAGGATAAAGATGGAATTGAGCTGATAAACTTTACCTAAAACAGGCGGCTCTGAGTCTTCAGTATCCTCTTTCCTCTCCTGATCTCTGGAGCGCCGTCTTGATCCTCTTCGGGAGCTGCTTGCCCAAGTATCTCCTTTGTTTCTGACGTATGAATCAGAATTACGTGCGGTCCAATATTCCTGAAATGAAATCCAATGTTGACACTTGATAACTGTTACAGTGATCTCTTGATGACTCAACAACCTCTTTAATTCGAAGTAAAAGCGTCTTCCTTTAAAAATCTTTCGATAATTGGAATAAAATATAATGTAAATATTTTACTCTCCCCCCCCCCCTTTTCTATAGCCCTGACGCCCTTCAGTTCTAAATTGAGCGGAGAAATTCCTCTATAATTTGAACTTTGAGAAGTAAATATTACGGACCCTCTATGATTCGAAAAACAAGGGGGTCTATTCCCTCTGTTATTCGTAGCGGCCCGGGTGGTCTTGTCTGGGTGGTGAAAAGACCACCCGGACCGGTGCCGATGAGCAAAGCCTCGTGAGCGTCGGAGTCCGAGCCTCGGAATACGGATACGGGTGGCGGGGAAGCAGAGAACGGTCGGAGTGGACTGAAAGGGAAGAGTACGAGAAGTGCCACACAATGGTCCGGCCGGCGGAACCTCCGTTCACGCATATAAAACGGCGAATATCACGAAAACGGCACATGGGATCTCCTTCGGCCCGTGAGAGCTTTTGATCAGTATGACTAGTTCCGCAACATATCAAAGTTTCATCAGATTTGACTGGGGAGGGGAGGGGGAGATTTCCTATTAGGATGAAGCGGGGTTCTTTCATGAGAAATATGCAATCTAAAAGCTTCCGATTAGAAAAGGTTTATTTAAACAATTCCAAATTGCGGTGCTGCCAATTTTACGATTTGTAATTCGTCAAAATGAACCGAATCGCAATCCAACTTCCAATGCTGAATTTTTATTTCATTCGATATTGGTTAATATGATTCTTCCCTACTCTATACATTCAAGTAATAAGAAAATAATGCTGTTACTTACATCATGGGAGCAGCTGACTCAACAGAAGAAGCCGGACGAAGCAAAGAGTCAGGGAAAAACGAGCGGTTAGGGTAGATGGAGGGTTCTTGAATCTACTCAATCAACAGAACATTCTCCCATCCGCCAAACCTTGTTTCTGTTACAACCAATACCTTGAAACTTTTATCGAAAATTTTCCTCCCAAAGTTTGTCCGAAAAAACATATAAACCACACTTGAAGTTGGAATGCAATTTGGGTCATTTCAACGAATTATAAATCGTAAATTGACAACACCACATTTCGTAATTGTTTAAATAAGCATTTTCTCATCGCAAACTCTCAGAGTGCTTATTTCTCGAAAAAGTTTGGAGGAAATCCAATCTCATAACCTTCACTTCATCATCAAATTCGATATTTTGGAGTCCACAACTTGGTAACGCTGCCACAGGGGCATAAAAGCTTGCATGGGCATGAAAATTTAAGGTAATCCATCTTTTACTGGATAACAACAAGCTAAAAATTTAGATTGGTCAATGCAAGAATGAGGGAGGGGAGTTTCATTTGTTGCTCCTAAGCCAATTTTGCTATTTGACCCGTAAATAACCGCAAAAATGCGATTATTATGTTAAAAAAATCCCACCAACTGTTTTGGAATTGCCAGTAAATTCATCAAGGAGCATCCCACTACAACCTCCAACTTGAATTTTTGATGTACATTCAAAGTTCAAAAAAAGTTACTTTACGGACACCATGCATGGATACTAACACGAGCAGCTGCATCCACCACTCCCTTAGGGAATTTTTTCCTCTCACAGACTCACTATTAGTTATAATCAAGGATTATAGTGATAAATGCTTAACACGATTTGCAAATTCCGCTACATTAAACTCACAATCAGTGCTTACTGAAACTCGTGGTCAGCACTTTTCAACTGGTGAATTTGAAGACCCGACCCCCACCTCGAAGTGGGCGGAGCGATTGAACGAGGACGCTTCGCGACAAGGCCGTGTCTGTAATACGTAACAAAGGAACTCTCACATGTTATCATTTACAATAACTATTAAAATACAACCTATCGTTTCAAATAAACTTCTGATTTTGACTTCTAACGGTATAATGATACCTTAGGAGTAATTTTTCACCTAGTTTAATGCGTAGTACTTTTCATTTTCGAATCTGAAATGTTGAGGTGAGACGTTAAAATTATCCCCCCACTGGTTGGTCAAACCAGGAGCACCAAATCGAACAAGCTGTTGTATGGACTTCACGTGATGACTCACCGCGAAATTCAAACGTGTTGATGAAAAAAGATCATAATAAAATAATTAAAATAGAAAATTTAGGATTCACACGTTACAAATCAACTACTGGCACTGGCGCATTTACTTATACAGCAACAGAGATAAAAAAAAAAAAACGCGGCTACTTGATCCCTGCAAAATGACCACGCAGAGGAGGACGTGATTTGATCGAAATCCTAATTCTGGTCAATGGTGAAGGATAACTGAAGAAAGTATATGCACACCGATTGCAGAAAGCGAGCCGTCCCGAGAAAACGTTGTGAGTGTTCATTGTAGCAAGGCACAACACACACTTGCGAATTATCATCATCGGATACTTATGACGAGACTGCCAACGAACACGACGGAATTTTGGAGGCGATTCCGCTGCTTAGTTGCCGGGCACGGCGGAGCAGAAACTTACTCGACGCCTCGCTCGCTCGGGTCGTCCGCCGCCGCGTCCGATTCCGTGGCGGCATTCCTTGTCTTAATTGCCGTACCTTTAATTTGCGTTGGCTTTTTGTTGGTTTTAATTATACATTTACTTGTTTTTGTTTTCACAATTAATTTGATTTGTTTCATAAGGGATCGACACAATCATTTAATTAATTGTTTTCACCTACCATTGTACATGTTTTTTGATTAATTTATACAATTACATTATCTTTCATTCCGACTTTTTATTTTGTTTATTTTACATTTATTACGTTCAAAAACATGATTAAAATTGCTCTCAATATTCCTGCTATCCAAAACCGGTGCATGAGAGGTGCAGAGGCCCTAGGAAAGTTGGCTGGTTGGGCCACGGAGCCATCAAAGAGTCCCTAGTTGCCATTTATAGTGATAGTACATAATAAAAAAATTGGTGAAATCCGACTAGCTTTCATACTCTTGCTTTTTTTTTACACTTATTAAAGTAAATAAAATAAAAAAATAAATACCAATGGTGCGCTTACTTTAGGTGAAAATTACTGTTACCATGCTTAATTTCAGAGAATATGAAAGTGAGTGCTTTAATTATTTTGTGGGAAAAACTGCATCTGTGCGATATGCTGTGCGTTTGCTAAAACTTTCAGATAATGCACTCCTTTTTAGGAAAACTAAATACACTTATTCTGCACCAAGTACTTTAAACTATTACCAAAAATAGTGTAACAAAACGGAATCATTTGTTTAAAAAACTTTGCCGAAGTACTGGACTACACTGAACAATACGGACTAGTAATTCTGGCTCATTCACATGAGCAACTCTCTGTATGGATCAAATAATATCAAAAATGGATAGCACTTTGCATAAAGACAGCTACTGAAGGAATACTTCGTGGCTTCAGAGCGGCAGTGTTTTGAAATACAGCCTACACAAGCTCATACGGACTCATAGGTAGAGATGTGGTTCCCTGGATTGCAAAACGTGCTATCAGAGATTTGCTTTCCTAGATCATGAATTTCTACCAAAAAATTTTAGTATGCACTGGCGTCGAGTTCCCTAAGCATAGTGGCTCTAAAGTGAATGGACCTTTCCTCTCCTAATAAACTTATATTTCTTTCTGTTTGATGCCGTCCAATTTTTATTTCTTAAAAGAACCATAAATAGTTGTTCTCCGTGGCAAATGTAGTCCAATTTGGCAGCTCTTGTTTGTTTTTTAGGTGAGTACACATTTTCAGCTTGATACAACAATCACATATAGATGAAAACCTGCAGGTACCTCCATTGTCATACCTGATTATAGGAGCGAGCTGGAGTTGCCACCACTTCAGCAGGTGTAAATGCTGGAGTTGAAGCCCCATAGCCAGATGCATCTATATTAGGAGAAATGGTTCCAAGTTTTGGATCAACTTGCCCCCAACCCCAGCTCCACTGATTCCAGTTCGAACTCCACTGTCCCCAAGTTTGACTATCACCTGCATTACAAAGAATAAAGTTGCTGGATGAAGGACACAGTGACCTTACTGGAGAAATATCACAATACTGCTCTGCTAAGAAAAAATAGTGACCTTGAAGAATAGACTTTCAGAGAAAATCCACTTTAACTGTGCTCAATTACAAGGCATAATATGAACCGGCTCTATTATTATCCTCGGTTTTAACTTTCTAAAAACTCAAATTTTGTCATTATTTTTGCACAACTTTTTCCCTCTTAATGAGTAGGATGAGACTTTTCTTCCCAATTCGGTTCCCAATGGGGTCTCAATTATCCAGGACAATTGGAAATCGATCTGATCTGGATAAATCAAAATCTATGTAATTAAAAAATTGAGAACCAATAACCAAGACCAATGGAAATTGCTGATAAGATTGATAAAGATTGATATGCATATGATTTTGAGTATTAGCATTTGTTCAGAGTAGAAAAACAAGAGTCACAGGGTCCCTTAGCTGTTCACAGTGCGTACCATAGTGCAAAGAATCAAAAGCCTTGATGGAATCTTGGCGAAGGAGCATGAGAATTTTAACACGCTAAGCTCAGCTTTTGCTAAACATTATATCAGCCTGTTGCTCCTTCCAAAACACTACTAAAGTTTGGTAAGTTTATAAATTGCACGAGTAAAGCTTTGAAAAAACCAGAGGAACACCGAAAAAACAGCGATTTCAATTAAAGAACTAAAATCTATAGTTAAAGGGAAGGCACACACGCATACAAGGTGCAGCAACTAAGTGGCGACAAACTTTCAGGGGTTGTTCGACATCTCAAAACAAATAGGAAAGTCTTGTACCAAATCCTCCAGGATGCGTGGTTCTCGAGTTACGGGGAGTTCACTTTTTGAGGAAAAATACCGTAAGTGTTCGGTTATGACGTCACAGTGGCTATCCTAATTGTCAGAACCCAAAAACATTTGTCATTTCGTCAAGTTCTCATTAAGAGCTGAAAAAAAAGTTCTTTCGTTTTTTTTTCGTAAAATCCCTCCTAATGGAGTTATTAACCGCTAAAAATGATAGCGTATTACTGTACGTCGCGGGACGTCCTGCGAAATCACGATTGTTTTTGGGTTTCAACATTTAAGATAGCCACTGTGACGTCATGACCGAACACGTACGTTATTGTTCTTCAAAAATTGAACTCCCCATAACTCAAGAACCACGCATCTTGGAGGATTTTGGTAAAGGACTCTTCTGTCTGTTTTGAGCTGCAGAACAACCCCTGAAAGTTTGTCGCCACTTTGTTGTTACAACCTGTATAACTATCACATTTTTGGACGGTATGTCCGGACTTGCCAGTCTCACAAGGGGATTGCAGGTCGAGATATTTGTAGGGCAGGGTTAGATAATTTAGTCGAACAAATAACACTTCAGAGAATATGCCAAAACGAATGAAATCTTCGTCAAAAGGTGAATTTGATAACAGCCGGTTGATTTGTTATGATTCGCGAACGCGTAGGCAAGGACCCCTGGCGTAGAGGTACCGGTACCCCTGACGGCGCATGGTCAAAGTGTAAGCATTTTCGTTCGTTAACTGTTGACGAAATCCGTAAGCAGTTGTCCTGCGCGTTAACGAAGTTGGTATTTTCATCAACCAATCGGAGCACGGTGGCCTGTTTACAGGACTGTTGATGGGTTTCACTCTCTCAACCGGAATCGTCAACAGGTTAGATAGCGTGGTCCAGAGCACGTTTACGGAACCGTAAACTGTTAACGAAAATTAAATTACAGTAGACTCTGGATTATCCGGATTAATTGGTGCCCGATCCGGATAAAAAAAAAAATCCGGATAATAATACGAAACACAAACAACACCAACCAACACCACAGTATTCTTATATTATGTATACATCATGTATGTACATACCAACTTAAACGGGCTTGAAGTAGGCAGTCAACGGTCTCTGCCTTTTAGAATCCGCGTGATTCTTGGATGCCAAATCCCGCCAGCGTTGTAAATAACTGATGTCGATTACCGTTGATTCCGACTGCTCCGCGATGTAGTTGAGCGCATCTGTTACGGACTTGTATCCTTGAGAGTGTGGAATGGAAACACAGGCCGGTTCACTGTCTCCCGCATTTTCTCCGGAAGTATCGTGTGGTTCTTCGCTGAACATGTTGATGATATCTTCGTCTGCCAGCTCGTCATAGAGTACCTATATTGAGAGAGTATGGCCACTGGAGTTACCACCTCTGATTGGCTCAGCCATCTTAGGCTGAATGGAGCCCTTAGGACCCAAAAATGGCGGACGCCATAAAGTTAATGTAATGCAAAATGATTCAAAATGTAGTTGTCTTTGCTTATCGNTTGAAGTCGAATTTCAACTAATTTCAACCTCCGGTTCGTTTATGCGGAGTGCGAAAACCTAGTCTTTAGTGTAAAATAAGGTTTCAAACACAAATTTCGGAAACCTACATTTCGTTAGTTCCGTATCGTTTATGCCGTGATTTGAACCTTGGTTTCAAACTCAGGTTTCGATTGAAGTTAGGTTAAGAGGCTCGCATAAACATAGCTACTCTCTCAATATAGGTACTCTAGCTCGTCAGTGAGCTCGTCGGCGGCGAGCCAACCATCAAGGGTTTTTCCAGTCACCTTATCGCCGGGTTGTTGTAGTAGTAATGCTAATAATTGTTGATCAATTTCGTCAGTTGGAGGGGCTTCAAAGTCGACGACATGGTCCAACAAGGGTTTCCATGATTTCAGCAGAGTCACATTTTGACCTTTAGCCCCCGCGCAGTTTGCACGATCAACACTCAACACGGCGGCACCGATGTGCCACTTGCAGGTCCCCACTTGCTGTGTGTGCAGTCGGCTTTTGACACCGCTTCTGCGCGGATCCGCTCACTTATCGGAATGCGTACGTAGTTACATGGTTGCAAAATCGATCCGGATAATACGAAGCCGAATAATCCAGAGTCTACTGTGCACTTAATCACGGGCGATTTGGCGGGGAGGGCTAGGCCAAGCAGATTTAATCACAACTGGCGAACGAAAATGTGTTTTGATGACGTACTTCGTAAACTGTTCACGGATTTTGTCAACAGTTAAAGAACGAAAATTTGCTTTATGACAAAAACCAAGAACAAGAAGGTAATTTTGCCGTCATATTGGATTGCCGCTTAAGCGTGGGCAAACGCGTTGTTTTCAAATTTCAAACTTGAAAAGTCGTTTTCGGAGGGACAAACGGCTCGAAAAAATCTGAATAAATTGCTAAGAGATCAGGAGACAATGTAGTTTCTGAAAATGGAATAATTATTCATAGGTTAACAAGCTCTCGGTTTGCGCGAGCGCTCTTCTTGTAGTGTATTTTCCGAAGAAAATACACTATTTTTATCTTCTTTTCAAATATGTGTCACAAAGACGGGAGGGGGTTGCTATTTTCGAGTTGTCCACCCCTAGAGGGGGGGCGTAAATGAGCCCCCCTAAAAAATTAGCCCTTCGCCGCAATGAGCAATGGTCCAAACCGAAACCTTTGATCTCTTTTTGTTCAAAAGTCATAGACACTTTTCAGTTGCATTTGGCCCATCCCGTAAAAGAATAGAGCGTTTTACGGGATATGACGGTAGACTTTCGGCGCAGCTTCGTGGATCCCCTCCAAAAGGATCTCAACTTTGGTTTTAAGAGCTTTTCTTGAGTTTGGGCGTTGAATTTAGAGAAAACCAATACCACCATCGAGTTACCTACGAAAGTCTGGTGGAGAAGGAGGTACTTACATCGCAAATCCCTGACTCATGCAAAAGTTTGATTGGAGAAAACTTGAAATATTCAAAAGTTTAAAAAGACAATATAAAAAACAATTCTGCTAAGGGTAAAAACCTACTGATAAAAATATTTTGCAACTCACCTGATAAACCACCAATAGCAATGGAATTTTCTGTATCTTCTTTGATATTATCCATTTCCATGGGGGCCTCACCCTCCTCTTTGTTGGGATCTTTATTAAGGACTGCAGAATTAGTAGGTCCAATGACAGGCGGAGGAGGAGGGGGAACCACCATTGCAGCAGTCATTTGAGGGCACGTTTCTTTCATTTTTATCCACTGCTGTGCCAAAGTGGCCCAATCCACTAAATTTAAGAAGAAATAAAAAATTACTTGATGAAGGGGGCGAGGGGAAGTACTCTCATAAATATGTAGTGCTCAAAAAATAATTTGAAACTGATCACATTGAAAAGAAAAGCAAAAAAAGGGAAGAGAGGAAAAAACTTATCTATATTTCCTGTGCAAATTAAAAAGCTTTGAAAAGCTTCACCGAGTTTTTCATTCAGGTGTCAAAGTTAAACGTACACTTGGTCTGTGGCGAGTCTTCTGTGCCATACCAAACCCAAATTTTGCCAACCTCTTCAGAACTTGATGAAAGGACACTATTCAAAATCGGCATTTTTGCCCCCCCCCCCCCCCCCCCCCCCCGGAAATCGTGTCATATTTTGAGGGCTGATAGAGGATTTTGATGATGAAAAAAGGTTTTTTTACCCCGAACCCTGGGAGAGGGGGGAGCGGGGCTGCGGGGGATATAAGTCCAAATTTTTTAATGCTTGTAACTTCTGAATGGTACAAGTAATTGCAATTTTCTTTTTTGCATTGGATTAGGCATTTAAAACACAGTATTTTGAAGACATTGAATTTGACAAAATTGATTTTTGACCAGTTTAGATGATTTTCCGACGTGAATCCCATTTTTTTCAGCCTTTTTTCCGCAATTTAATACTTGAAATAAAATTGGTCGAGGTTTTATCATCTAGGAATGTTTCGAATAATTTTTGGAAATTTAAAGAAGAATGGAAGCTTCTCTCTATAAAATTTCCAATTAAGGTGTAGATAGTAATAAATAGAATTAGATACATAATTTTGAAAATATTGCACATTTATTATCTACTTTGTGATGCGATATTACAGAATATTACATAACAAAGTAGATAATAACTGTGCAATATTTGCAAAGTTGTGTATCTAATTCTATTTATTACTTTATACACCTAAAGTGGAAATTTTATTGAGAGAAGCTTCTATTCTTTTTTAAAATGCCAAAAATCATTTGGAACATTCCTAGATGATCAAAACTCGACCAATGTTATTTCAAGTACAAAATTGCGGGAAAAGAGGCTGAAAAAAAATGGGATTCACATTGGAAAATCATCTTAACTTTGTCAAAAAACCGGCGCGGAGCGAAGCGGAGCGCCGGTTTTTGGGGGGGCTTCGCCTCCCCAAGCCCCCTCAGGACGCGCGTTTTGAGGGCGTCTTTTCAGGGTCGTCTGCACATCTAGATTTCCTTCTTTTTGAGTGTCCCGCGCATCCACCGCGGGAAGGAAGTGTACTTCCCGAAGTGGGATTTTTGTAGTCATAAAATCGTACGTCTGTAAATCATTGTGTAATGGATAGATTTTCTTCAGATATTTCCTTTCCTTAGGCCGCTGTGCGACGAGCAGTTCGTCCAAAAACTTTCTTCACCTGACCCTTTGTGCGACGCGCAGTTTGTCCAAAATCTTCCTTCCCCCGAACCACTGAGCGACGAAATGCTTGTTCAAAAACTTCTTCCCTCTGACCCACAGTGCGACGGAAATTTTGTCCAAAATCTTCCTCCCCCTGACCCACTGTGCGACGAAAATTTTGTCCAAAAACTTCTACCCCTGACCCACTGTGCGACGATCAGCATGTCCAAAAACTTTCTCCCCGACTCACTGTGCGGCCCTGCTCCGGCCGGCTCCCCTTATGCCGCGCACCCACCCGCCTAAAACTTTTAGTCCAGGCATAATAGATCAAAAATCGGCAATTAGAAAAAAAAATTATATACAGAATGATCCAGACCACCCGTCCACTATATTTTTCTCGAAAACGGCGGAGATTGAGCTTCGGGACCAAAACTTTCACAGGGTGAATCGACCCCAAAGAATCGAATGAAAATAATTTCAGCCCCCCAAAATGGCCCCTTGGGAGGTTTTGGGGGTGAGCCCCCCCGTTTCTCGCAATTTTCAAACAGGAAGGGTATGTTTTGACTTTGGATTCGGAATCTACGGTAAAAAATAAGAACATTTTATCCCTTGCACTTTTTCCCTACACCCCCATTTTTTGGAGTTATGGGGCATTTTCGGGCCTTTTTGGGGCGATTTTCAATTCGATGCTGTAAGCGGCCAAATTTCCAAATCTAAAAATCCCTTGAGAGGAGAGGTCAATACCTTTTTATTGATGTGCCACATGACCCCTGTTTAGGGTGTGCCTTATTTTTGAGTTTTGCAAAAATCAAGTTGGTCAACCCCTAAAAAGTTTCTATGTAGTCTCTAAATGAACCCCCTAAAAAGAAAAAAATTTTAAAAAAATTTTAACCCGTGCCTTAAAGGGCCTAAAGGGCCTAAACCCAAAATTCAAAAATTTCGGCAAGCGACACATCATTTCTGAAGGAAAATGGCAAGTTACGGCCCTTTTAGGGCAGAAATTTCGTCCGTTTTGCCGTATCTTGAAGCGTAAGGTCACAAACGGCCCAATGACGACGTGAGGCTATGGGCTGGCGGGGCGCGCCGCGGCCGGCCCGCCGCTGAGCGTGCGCGCGCGGCAGGGTTGCGTATCGCCGCTTTACAACGGCGTAGAGGAACGAACGGTGGGGTGGGAGGGAGATATCCAGTGGAAAAGCATCCACATTTTCTATCCATATTGAAAATGCATTATACTTTTTCAATATAGATGAGGAAATATGAGCCATACAAGGAAGTGATGAAAAGAGTGACAAATACATATATAGTTTGTACGGTTAGGAGTGTAAGTGGGGAAAATTTGCCATAACTACAGAACAGCCCTGAAAATCTCCGGGAAATAAAAGCTGCTATTGATGAGAGGTTTGCATGAGAGGTTTAATTAAGGACTAATTAAAAAGATAGGTGCGATGTTGTCGAATCGTAAGCCCTTTACGCGATCAAAAGCGATTAGTGTAAATTTAATTGGAAAAGTTTAAGAAAAATTTG